TTCATCCATCTCTGTCCGAGCGGTGACTGACGGGATACTGACGGCAACGTGTCACACGAACAGTTTTCCATAAGTTCATTCCGGACTGATGTAAAATACCAAAATATTTAAAATTCTGTCAGTCCGACCTATCAGTCCATCAGCCAATGCATTACACAATCAGTCTGGCGTCAGTCTTACCAGACTGATGGACTGAACTGATGCCAAACTGAACGTGTAACCCACCTCTATCACTCTCCATAGTTTGAACCGTCTCCTTTGGACGATTTATAAGAAAATTTTGATTTTGCTTTCACTGTGCGTTTTGTTGTGCTACTTGGCATCTACAGAGTGGCCATTTCATCTGTTTTGTGGTTTTACCCGCTCTACTTTAGGCCGGCGCTACACTGCAAATCCATAGAGCCACACAACTGACGGCAAGGGAGTAAGGAGTAACTAGCCATACCTTAGAGCCATACAGACACAAACCATATCGTGACGCTAGCGCATCATACAGAGCATTCCCCTCTATCAAATTAAAAATTGAGTATAATCATGTTAGTGTTGCTTTATGTGTAAAATAGTAGTATAGGTACTACCGCATATAGGTACATGTACATTTTAGTGTCGCCGCACACGGGCCACCGACCACAACCACAAAACGCCGCCACCGGCATATTTCTTGTAGTTTTCATACATTTTATATGGACTCGCCACACACGGTACGCCGGTGGCCTCCACACGCTACAAATCGTCGTTGCTCGCTTCTTGTTGCTCGCACCGGCCACTTAATGCGCCGATACAAAACGCCGCCACACGTCACTCGCGCGATTCCCCACCCCTCTCTCCCGTACCTTAGTCAGCCTCTGTCGCGCGCTACAGCCACTTTAGTAGCCGCTTCTAACTTCTCGAGGCGGCGTTTGTGGCTGTGGTGTGGCGAGTGGCCCGTGTGTGCGGCGACACTAAGTGTCTGTGGGCGCAGCGGTCATCCATTGTCGCATCAGAGAGTTATCGGTTTCATAAATTTAGAACGGTTAGAAATATACTCGGTGTCGCGATGTGCCGACAGCGTTCTCACTCTAACCATACTAAGTGTATGCAACCGATAGCTCTCTGACACGTTACATCATAACTAAAACATACATAGAATTGAATTGAATTGAATAACACAACACATCAAATAAGTGAAGTTCTACCATTAGTAATGCGCGAATTGTTTTAAGGTCTCAACGACGCGTTGCGGCAAACACAGAAAGACCAAATAGCGAAATTCGTGTAGTGGCTGTCATGCTATTCGATCTCAACGCGTTGTGGCAATTAAGAAAAGCCATGACGCGTATGGAATATTATTTGATTACGACGCACACTACTTTCGGATATGGATCCTACTAGGCCTAGGCTGGAAACGTTTTAGTAGATGTCTTTGGGAAATATTTTTTATTTTATAAAATCACTGCATAACGTGAAATTAAAATAAAACGATATTTGTTATTTATTTACTTTGTATTTAAAAAAAAATCAACGTATTAAGTAAAAAATTACTGAACACAAAATATTAATCATTTGTAAATTACTTATCACTTAAAATGATTAGGGATTTTTTATGACAATTTAAAATTCTTTCAATTAATAAAAATATTTAACATAAGTAAATGTTTATTGATCAACAATGTACTTAAACCAATTATTGATATTAGAAATTACTATAATTGTGAAACATAAGTATTTGATTGCTATTTATTTTGACAGGAACTATTACTGTGGCATTTTCAGTTGCATTTTATATTCTTGGAGCGACACTTGCACTTTTTATCAATACAGTATGTTTTTCTATTAAAGATGCTGAGCGAAGTGTCAATGACGAAGTTCAGGGCACGACACAAATGTTAATAAAGTTGGTTTCGGAAAGTGTAAACTCATTACGTGCATAATGGGCCTACCACACGCACGAGCTTCACCACAGTTTTGCCTGCGCAGGCCGGTTTGTACACGGAACACGGTGCGTGTAGTTGGTAAAACTGTATCACGCGCCAACCCCACAGCGCGGCCTGCGCAATTTTCGACTTGCTTGAAATTTTGCCTGCGCAAGCCCGGCCTGCGCGTACTTGTCTGTGCGTGTGGTTGGGCGTTCAGTGTTCAAGCCACAGTCGAGTGTACTTTGTGTCGAGGCTCGCTCGTCGTTTCATGAGGATGAGGTCGTTCGTCATCGTCACACAAAAATGGTAGATTTGCGTACGTACAATCGCGAATTCACGTCTGAATTAATTAGTTAATACAAATCTCTGCCTGCACTCTGGAAAATTAAATCTAAAGATTATTCCGACCGAAATAAAAAGAACGACGCCTACGAAAGAATGATAAATAAAATGAAAGAGGTGAGAACATAATTTTTGCAACTAAATACCTTTGCCTAATACCTACTACCTACCTACTTGCACATATTATGTACATATCCTATCGTTTAGCGCATAAAGTCTATCGAATGTACCTTCCTTGTTTCCTAATGCGCTTACCACACGCACAAGCTTCACCACAGTTTGGCCTGCGCAAGCATCTCGCACGAAAAAACTGTACACTTTGTGCGTTACCACACGGCACAGTCAAGTACGCGCAAGCCTCATTCTTATCGAAATCATTGGCGTGGAAACAATGTTTCCTAATGAAGAAACATTTCTTATGCTACTATTTTTCAATTTTATTTTTTGTGTTTGCTATTAAAAAAAACATGTAAAAATAATAGGATATGTACATATGTGCAAGTAGGTAGGTAGTAGGTATTAGGCATAGGTATTTAGTTGCAAAAATTATGTTCTTACCTCTTTCATTTTATTTATCATTCTTTCGTAGGTGTCGTTCTTTTTATTTCGGTCGGAATAATCTTTAGATTTAATTTTCCAGAGTGCAGGCAGAGATTTGTATAAACTTATTAATTCAGACGTGAATTCGCGATTGTACGTACTCAAATCTGCCATTTTTGAGTGACGATGACGAACGACCTCATGAAACGACGAGCGAGCCTCGACACAAAGTACACTCGACTGTGGCTTGAACACTGAACGCCCAACCACACGCACAGACAAGTACGCGCAGGCCGGGCTTGCGCAGGCAAAATTTCAAGCAAGTTGAAAAATGCGCAGGCCGCGCTGTGGGGTTGGCGCGTGATACAGTTTTACCAACTACACGCACCGTGTTCCGTGTACAAACCGGCCTGCGCAGGCAAAACTGTGGTGAAGCTCGTGCGTGTGGTAGGCCCATAACTGGTAGACCAGCCCCTCTAGCATGACCACTGAAACGGGATATGATAAAGCGATATATCGGCATTAACTGTCAGACTACTATGGAGTTTGACAGTAGTCTGACAGTTAATGTCGATAAATCGCTTTATCATATCCCGTTTCGGTGGTCATGCTAGAGGGGCTGATGGATTAATGCTCTTAACAACACAAATAACATTCCTGAGTGCTGCACGTCCTCTATCAACTTACAACCTGTCCGTCGTGATATGGTTAAAACAATGAATGCTCAGAACGCGTCATGGCTTTTCTTCATTGAAACAACGCGTTGAGATCGAGTAGCATGTCAGCCACGACACGAATTTCGCTATTTGGTCTTTCTGTGATTGCCACAACGCGTCGTGCGCGTTTTCATTAGAGCCATAATACGAATTTCGCCATGTGGATGTTTTACTGTGACCACAACGCGTTGTGAGCTATTTTTCCGCTCACTAAGCGTTTTCGATCTTTGAGCGTAACATATATATGGTACCTATTTAATATTTGGTTGGTTACGTTGCAAAAAGTACCATCCGGCAAGAAAAGGTAACCATTTTTATGAAAATACTTTTTCTAATAGTACCTACATATATTTTCTTATTAGTATCTGGTATACCTATTTCCATTATCTTAGCCATTTACTAATTACAAATTAATTCTTGTAATATTATCAATGTGAAAGTTTGTGTTTATTACTCAATCACTAAAAATACCTGAATGGGTTTGGCTAAAATTTAGTAAACGTATAGTTTACTTGTCTGGGAGATTTAATACTTTGATTTTTTATTTCTTAAGCATTTAACTACTAGATGTCTAAATCTAAAGAAAATTTGTAGCAGAAAATATCCTGCAGGGAAATGGTCCCATGACCAGGCAGCAGACGGGACTCGAACGCGCACCTTCCGCTATCCGGGCGGATGCACTATTGCGCCTCTTAAGAAATATAATATATTATCTGAGGCAGAAATATTAGTAGGCCTTTTACAAATGACAAAAAAAGCGAATAGGCCGGCAGATCTAACCATCAAAGTCAAAGGACCTTGACTTCAAACAAGTACCCTTACCGACCAAGTCGTTTTGCTAAAATGACATAGGTCTGGCTGGCTCTCAGAGTCCCAGCTCCCTCATTCTAAACCTTTACTAACGTACCATACGTATATATAGGTACCAATTGATTAATTTAACCAATGATAATGTAGTTTTATAGTAAACTAACTTATTTAAACGCCGTCGCGTCGTGACGAATGTTATTTCAACTTATTGTTCATTCTACGATGTCAAGCTGTGGATTCGAATAAAAATAAATAGGTACCCAATGATAATTATTTTAAAATCATTTGGAAATAGGTTCCTCAGGTAAATACCTAAACGAGGATCCTCGTACCTACCAAACCTATTAATACTAGGAAAAACTACCTACCTATCTATCTATAGTATTATATCCACTGCGCATTTCTAAAATCAATATTTTTTTCACAACAACTAAATAGTAAATTACACTATTTTTGTTGTTCTAATAAAGCTTTCCCTAAATTACGTAAACATTTTTATAGATAGGTACCGTATGTAGATAGATGTTAACTAGGTTCCTACGACTTTAACCAACCACGCTGTCTGTATAAAAATAAGTAGGCATGTAATCGTACGGTATATTACAATAGCTATGTCTATATTATTCCAATAGTAGACTGTAGTTAGGTACTGCTACTCTATAGATAATTCGCAGTTATATCTATACAGGTATATATTGAAAATTGCTATTATCCGACCATGATAAAACAGCGCAACTCCGTAAACATTTACATGATAGTCATGTTCATCTTGTATAGGTTTGGTTAGTAGCATTTCGTGCGAACCCCGACGACGAAATCATTCCATCCAGCCGTCGAAGCCGTGTTCTCGGGGGTTTGGGTTTGTGATTTTGTATAAATCTCTAAAGTTTATGTGCCAACTACTATACAAAACAAAGGTATGCATCTAAAAATACATTTCCTAGTAGAAAATAGAATTTCATGTCGTTGATGATCCTATTGAGCATTTATGGCATCGCTTTCTCAGGCGAATCTTTTGTCTCGCTCTATTAAGTTGAACGTCAGCAACATGCTTGATTTTCTGTCTCAGTCCCTCTAGTAATATAACACCGTTGTGCTCGGTCGTGTCACGTAAGATTTTTTCGTATTTTGCTTACAAAATAGATATTTCTTGGTTTTAAGATCCGTTAATTGTGTTCGTGTTGTGTTTGTGTCTATATAATGATGATTATTTGTTAAAATAAACGTCTGGATCTTTTAATATGGGTCGTGCTAACTTTCACTCTAGATATAGATAGGTACTTTGGATGATGGAATATAGCTATATGTATCTATACGATTCTGTAGATATTCAACATCGAGTCGTCGAGACTCAAGGCCGAAATACACAAATACAAAAGTATAATCTACGTAGTGCAACAAAAATTATTGGTTATTGTAGAAATGTGAAATTGTTGAAGTTTTTCAGTCCAATAACGCTGTGTACTAGCCCATGTACTTGTGCTTGCTCTTGTCCATGCAATGGCGTAGTACCGAAGAATCGTAGTTGCCAGTTTGATTTCGATCTTATTTATAAATGATAATAATGTGTCCTTATCGCATCGAGGCGTCGCAAATAATTTTATGAGGATGTCATACCTAGGTATTGAATTTATTGGTAGAGTTAGGTTTTCTGATGTATCTAATGCCGGCTACAGACCTTCAGTTTTGACTGCACAGTTTTAACTGAACAGTCGAACTGTTCAGTTAAAACGTACGTGTGTAGGCAAAACTAGAAACTGTACAGTTGAACTGACAATTTATTTAAAAATCATTAAATAAAACTGCTCAGTTAAAACTGTGCAAGTAAAACTGAAGGTGTGTAGCAAAAATAACTGTGCAGTTGTCAGTTTTGCCAAAGCGCCGCCGGAGTGATCACGTGTTTTATGATAGTTTTAGTGATAGTTACATCGAAACTAACAATGCCAAATCTACGTGAATGGTTAGAAGAATTTATAGAATTATATCATTCAGAGCCTTGCTTGTGGAAAGTTAAAACAAAAGAGTACCACGACCGTGGCAAAAAAGAAGCAGCCTACGAAAAGTTATTGGCGAAACTTCGAGAGATTGAACCATCAAATAGTTATTATAGTCTTTTGGACAAATTCTGAGCTCTTTCAGTAAATTGTCATGCGAATAAAGTTTTCTTTTCAATAACCAATGTTTACACCACATTTTTTTCCTTCTTTGTATTCTTTTTTCCAAAATGCATAATAGTCCAATAATTGCCACAGTGTCATCTGATGATGCCATGGCGACGTGTTACTTCGAGCGAAAAAGATTACAACTGAAATAACTCAACGTGTGTAGACACTAGGGACGCCAGTTTTAACTGAACAGTTCGACTGTTCAGTTAAAACTGTGCAGTCAAAACTGAAGGTCTGTAGCCGGCATAAGTAGCTATAGATTTGTTATATGTATATCTACGTAGTCCTTGAGATAACCTCAAAAACAAAAGATTCGACTTTCATTATTTATGTACACAGGCCCTTTTTTTGGTTTAAAGACAATCTTGATAACAACTGTGGAGACGTGGGCTGAAAATTTCGTATGGGCGGTGAAGATGCTCACACAATATTTTTCTTTGTATGTGTAGATTCGAACATTCGAGCTGACTGCAAAGCTGCTTGAAGGATCTGCCGAGCCCGCATTATCTGTGATATACAGCTCAGCCTCTCGTCCGTCCTATAAGGTAAGCTTCTGCCCAACAAGAAAATTGTTTTCCAACTAGATAATAATAATCAATTTCTAAGTGCTTACCAGTAGTGGGTATGGAAAGTGACTACATTTCTATTATGGAATGCATTGCCTTAAAAATATGAAATAATACCATTGGTGGGCGTCAGCACTTTTTAAATTTACTTCGTTTAGCCTTTTTATCATGTAAGAAAAAGAAGGGAATTTTAAAATTACTAAAACCATTTAAACCAGTTTATTTTGAAGTAGATGTTGACAGTCCTTTTTAATTTTAGGGCTGGGCCACTTGGGGCTAGGAGGCGTGTCCGCAGCAGCTTCAGCGGTGATCTCACCCTGCCCTCTGCTACAGAGGCACTAAACACTGCTACCTGCTTAATTGACTGCATCACTACGAACCATTGTTACTTAGTCTATAATTGAAACAATATGCAATCTGTGAAAATAAGTCTAATGCTAGGTGGATATTGTAGAAAATTATTCTATTTATAAATAATTGTCTGATGTCTAATGTTTCTGTAATATTATGTGTTCCACGTCTAATTAAGGATAATTGTTACTCCAATATTGATAACTGTTACCGAACCAATGCAATGTAATAACTCCACCTCATCATTGGTGGTGTACACAAATAAATTTGGTGCTTTTGAGCGAGTCGTTAAGAAGAATGAGAGTCAGCAAGTTAGTGTAAAAATGGTAGATAATAATATTTATAATGTAGAGTTTGTTGATAGTATCCAACAAAACCAAATGATTGGCGATACGCCTAAATACTGCATTCCTTTAATGATTAACGCCATAACAGTCCAGGGTATCTCATACAGTGACCCATATTTCAGTAGCTTTAACTTAAAGTATAAGATGGTGTTGGGAGCGCCAGAGTATATGAACAAGTCTGATTACGCTTTTAAATCCTCAGTTTGTATTATACGAGATGAGCCTTGCGAGACGCAACTAATAAACGAAAAGTCTGCTCGTGATATGATATGCAAAACGAAAACTCGAATGATTACTGATTACGACAAGTCTGTAAAAACACACCATGACAATAACAATGGAGCATTAAGCTCGAAGTCAGCTTTGAAAGTATTCGCTAACGGTGATCTCACTTTGGATGCGATGTTGGAACTAACTAGAAGAGAAGAGGCTCTAGTGAAGAGCTTGGCTTGTGAAGAGAAGGACAGTTGGGGCTTGCCGCGTCGATTGCGTTTGTGCGGTGGAGGAGAAAGCTCACTAAACGCAGCTACCGGTTGGGGAAGTCCTCCTGCTTCCAATAATGCTGGTGATTATCTTTTAAAGTTTTTAAAATTAACAATAAGCTAGGTTTTCCCTACTAAACAAATGATGAAGATAACATCCAATCAACACAACTTAGAAAGTATCATATTTAGACAAGAAACAAGCACAGTTTAATCAACTGTGTGGTATTTTTGAACATTAATAGAAATTGTTATGTAATTGGAAATTAATTAGTTTATACATTAAGTTAATGACACAACCTTGTGTAACACTCATTCAAATTTCATAGGTAGAGGTAATTATAATCAATAATAATACGCATTTTGTTTGTAGCTGGGAACTGGGGCGGTAACAGCAGTGGCCAAACAAATAATGGATCTAACAATACTCAACAATGGAACAACACGGCTCAACGCCCGCCTACTTCCCAAGCAGACAGTAAGTTGTTTTAAATCAAACAATTAGATGGAATGCTTAAGTGTATGATCATTATTTGTCTGGCTATTTAGTTGTACTATTATTTTTTACCATACCCTACAAAATTGTGCCCAGCTAAAAACAATTATTATTTTGTAAACATTAGTACCTAAGCAACCATTTATTAAGTTTCTTGTTTATTTGACACACTTCTTATTTTATTGATTTTCTGTCTTTTAGTGAACAGTAACAAGGGTAACGGAAACCAAATGCCACCAACAAGTGCAGCTACTGGCCAAAACTGGCAAAGTTCTCCACCAAACATGCCAAATTCTCAAACTAACAATAATGGTGCGCCTGCTAGTAATGGTAAATACTATAATAGTATATGAATTTGGTATTTGGAAGACTCCTATCTAATTCAAAATAATATCCAATTACTTTTTCTTAGGCACTAATAATCCAGGAAATGGAAACAACGGAGGTAATAACCCTGCTAATCCAGCTGCAAACACGAACGGCCCAACAGGTGGCAATGGTAATGGCAACGTGAATAGTACATCCTCTGCCAAAATCGAGATCAACTCTATGAGGGAGGCTCTATTCAGTCAAGATGGCTGGGGTGGAGTAAGTATTTTGTAACTAAAATTCTCTGAATACCAAAGCTTGGAATAATGTTACCAATTGATTTTTAATTTATTTTGTAGCAACATGTGAATCAGGACACCAATTGGGACGTGCCTGGCTCACCAGAACCTGGTTCGAAGGTAGAGCCTACTGCGGGTGCCCAACCTGCTTGGAAACCAAGCGTCAACAATGGTGCATTTCTGGGAACTGATCTTTGGGAGGCAAATCTCAGGAACGGAGGGCAGCCGCCTCCGCAGCCGGCCGCTAAGACGCCTTGGGGTCACACTCCGACGACGAACATTGGGGGAACATGGGGCGAGGATGACGATGCGGCTGATTCTGCTAACGTTTGGACGGGACCACCACCTCCTCAGCAATGGCCGGCCGGGCCGCCACAACACGCTCAGCAATGGGGGGTACCTAAGAAAGACGATTGGAATGCGTGGGGCGAGCCTCATCGCGGTGGAGATCCACGATTGGACCCCCATCGCTCGGCCGATCCGCGCCAACAACCCGCTGACCCTCGCCACGACCTACGAGGGGGAATTTCCGGCCGTCTCAACGGAGATATGTGGAGTCAGCATCACCAGCATGCTGGCGGTCCGAACAAGATGATGCCCACTGGCGGCGTCAACCAATGGGGTGCCCAGGTAAAGTATAACTGATCTTATAGTTTCTTTTTTAGTTTAATATGTATGTCACTCTTTGATTACTTTTTTAATTTTAATTTGTGTTGGACTAGAATAGTTGAATAGATTACAATCCACCGAAAAATAATGCGTTAAAATGTAAGCAGTATGTTACAGTTCACAAACATTTTCGAAAGTTAAATCTAACAGTATTTACAATTTTACAGTGACATGTACATCATAAAATCTCTGTTTGCCTTTATATGTATTGCTCTTTTATTTGGAATGCTATATTTCAGTTGTATATTTTTTGTGAATGAATCCGAGCTCCTATCAACAGGGTCCAAAGGACTCGATGAAATCGTCGGGGTGGGAGGAGCCATCGCCACCAGCGGTTCGACGCTCGGCGGGAGGTTTCGACGACGGCACCTCTCTATGGGCCCAGCGGGCGGGTATGGCAGGCATGGCCCGTGGGGCTCCACAGGGGCCTCCAGCGCCCCAGCGTATCCCACCAACGCCTACTAAACCAGACGCCGTATGGGGTGCCCATGGTCAACGCAACGGATCCTGGGAGGAACCGCACGCCCCCACTTGGCCCGATCGCGACGGATCCGCGTGGCCCGATCCATCTGGGCCTGCGTTATGGCCCGTGCCTCCTAAACCGAAACCCACTGGACCGGGGGGTGGGTGGCCGGACGATATCGGCGAATGGGGCGGACCTAAGCCTCCGCAAGCTGGTCCGCTTGGCAAGCAGCTGCCTAAAGAAATGGTGTGGAATAGCAAGCAATTCAGGTGAGTTTTAATAAATGTTTCTATTTCATTTAACTTATAGTCGACGACTGTTCTCAGCTGGAACATAAAGCAATTAAAATATTGACTTATATTACCAATAGAAACAATCAAGTTCTTCAATTTAGCTAGGATTAAAGTAATCTGAAAATATATCTTAATAATAAATATTGTTTATAGGTTCTTAGTGGATATGGGATTCAAGAAGGAAGAGGCGGAGGCCGCACTACGCAACCGCGATATGAACGCAGAGGAAGCCCTGGAGTTACTGTCGGCTACCAGCCGCGACGGATGGCGAAGGGAAGAACAGTTCGGACATCACGCGCCTTTCCAACCACCGCCTAATGTGCCAGCCGTTTCACCAGCGGTTGTACAGAAGCTACTTAATCAGCCACCACCGCCGACTGTACAGCACCATCATTCTTACAACCCTAATAGGTAAGCGAAACAAGTGAAAATCAAAGAAAAATAATAATAACAAAATTGGTAAGCAAGGAAATTACACTATGATTAGTTCATGAATTGTTTAAACTACTAGAAGTGTTTTCTATTCATTACATCAACACTTTAGTTACTTTGTATTATTTTGTAATTGATTACATCAACACTGGCGTCATAGTAAATTGTGATGGCATAAACCTTTTGTTACTAAAGAATGTCAAGTTTTTTGCTTATTTATTTATTTATTTATAATCTTAGGAAAGTGGTTTATAGAAGTAGATTTTTATTTTCACATTTACTGTCTTGAAAACTTGCATTTGTTACTTGCATAGGTACATAATAAAATAAACAGTTTTGTCAAACTCATGAAACAATAATTACAAATGTTGAATAGTTTGAAATATTGCACTTAAATAAATTACAAAAATATTGTTTTTTTAATGAGTATCATTTTTAAATTTTACTATTTGTTTTTAACCAAAATAATATCACATTTGAATTCTCTCCAGACAAACATTTATCTTCTTAATTCTTTAACATAAAAACTATTTAACAGTGGCACGGGTAACAGCGGTCAGCCGAGCACGGCTCAGCTTCGTATGCTAGTACAGCAGATACAGATGGCAGTGTCAGCGGGTTATCTCAACCACCAGATCCTCAATCAGCCTCTGGCACCACAGACTCTGGTGCTACTCAACCAGTTGTTGCAACAGGTGAGAAGATTACATATGAAGAGCTGGCGAACAAAACGATATAATTATGCATCTGGTCAAACTACTTTTTTTTTTACAGTCCGGTGGTATGGGGCCTGTTGAATTTGAATCTCAAATAATTTTCAATCCAAACCACCTAAAACAGTGTTAAAATTACTAAATTTATAAATTAAAAACCATGCTAAAATCTCAGCTATGTAATTCAGTTTTATACAGCTCCTGTAAAATTTTATTATATGTAATTATACCATTTTGTTCACCAGCTCCTCGTATATCAGTTATGTTCAATTGTTTTAAATTACTTTTCTACTACTAAATAAATATTTATTTTACTTTTTATCTTATTGGACAACATGCATGTGACACTGGTAAATATAAAGTTTGAAAAGGCTACTTAAATATTATTGCAGGCAGAATATGTGGGATACCTTTCATTCTATATTTATTAACCAATTCAAATTTTACTTTTCTCTAAGAACTTGGGACATCAGTAGATAATAATGCTATGATTTAATTCTGATAGTGATGATCTGATTACTGACCATAAATCGAAGTGTATTCTTGTTTGTTCTCTACTACATATTTATAAAAATCTCTTTTATACAAAAAGATGCTGTCTTAAAATTTTAAAGGATGGTAAATCAATTAGCAGGTATTTTAGTTAACACAAGAGACTTTAATAAAGTATTCCTACAATATTTATGAAGACAGTTTTTAATCATCAAAACATCTTTGAATATAAAATACCTGATTATCAGGATTCTATTAAATGAGTAGGTTTATAGCTATTTATTCAACAAATTAGTAATAAAAATAAGGAATACGAACTTTGCTAAAAATAAATGAAAAATAAGTAAATAAAATTGCAGATTTACGATTTTGTCCATGTTGCGTCTCGCATTAGCATTGAAGTTTAGCTGTATGATATTGGAACCATGTTTTAGCAGCCTTTGTTAGAGAGTAATGCTTGCATAACATTTCTAATTCATTGTACTTAATACATTGTCAGTACTTATTTTTATTTTTCTTAAATATCAGTACACATGCGCTAGTGTTCAATGCATTTACTATTGTGTTTGGTTTACAGATCAAGGTGCTCCAGCAGCTGGCTCAACAGCATTCAGTGGCTTTGTCCAAGGGCAACTCTTCGATCGCGCTGCAGTGTTCAGTGCAGATCACTAAGGCTAAGCAGCAAATAACTGCACTTCAGGTAATAATTAGATGGAATGGTTTTGATAGTTTACCTTCTAATTTCTATATTGGTGGTTATTCTGGATCAAATCATAAAGTATCAAAGAAATTTGTAATGTTTTGTTTCTGTGGTAAGATTGCTTAAACCTATGTATTCAGGCAATCCCCTCATTTTCCTTTTTGGGGCCTAAACGTTTTACTCTTTTCAAATTACCTATAATTTCAAATGGAAAGAAGCTTTAGCTATGGATGGTATCATGGAAAGATTTAGGGTCAGTTTACAGTGGCATTAAGTCCGCCATTTGTTGAAAAAACAATTATGAGAAAATAAATAAATAAATGCATCGGAACGTCTACATTCGCCGTGTGCACCCCCGCCCAGTCCCTTCCACTTATGAAGTCCGATATAACAAGATCCCAGACTATCATTATTAATTTTCACTCAAGCGTTCCACTGAACGGCTTCAATTCTACACGAAGTCTTGGACGGAAATAATAGACATATCACCACGGCTGCCTCAGGCTTTGCCTTGCGGTGTCGCGCGGCATTGCGAGGTGTAGCGCTGAGGCCCAAGCACGAATTTTAGGAGCTCTGTCATCCTCATATTTTGTGTGGAAAAAGCCAGTTTGTTCTTACGCTGGTAGGGGTACTGCTTGGATTTCATAGAAACGATGCGATGCGATTGCGGAGCTGTTAAAATTCGTGCTTGGGCTCTGCGCACCGACGATGCAATCCCATACTCCACGAGGCGCATCGCTGCGTGGTGCAATGTATTCTGAATTCTCACAATTAAATGTGCATCTTTTCCTGTAGTAAATAAAATTATGTTTTGCGTCTCTGTAGTAAAATTTGCGCACAGCGTTGCGTCGTTTTTCGGTGTGATCAGGCTCTTAGACTTTGTCTCCTATAAACTCCGTAGGTCGCGCTGTTGTGGTCTTTTTCATACGCTGATATCGTAGCGTCAATACAAATGTCGAATTTGACGAACGACGACGTTCTTCACAACAGTGAGCGTCGTGTATAGGACCAAAGCCTTAGACAACCGTCAGGTTGGCCATGTAATGCCGGCACTACACTTGGTTGGTGTGTTATTTGTTAACTTGACATCTGTTTGTTCTTTTTGATAAGGACAGACTGTTGTCAAGTTTACAAATAGCAAATACGAATAGCCACCAAATGAAGTGCAGGCATAAGGGTCTTTTGGCCGGAACCTATCTTCACTAGATAGCGCCGGGCAATGTTATTTCATAAATATTCAACCTCTTTCTATTTTGCTATCGATTAGAACTTGTGAAGTTAATCTTTGGTATTTTTGTCCACAGAACCAGATAACAACTCAACAAGCGTTATACATGAAGCAGCAGGCCGGCGGCGCTGATCTATTCAAGCCGACCCACGATCCTCTAGTTCAGCTCCAGAGTAACTTTAGTGACATGGGCATCACTAAGGACACTCAAGCGGTAAGCATTTACTAGTAACTACATTAAGTTATTATTACTTACTTCATTAAGCTGATCAGTCAAGTTGTGATCCTATTTACCTCTGGCTTTAAAATGTCTAAAACATTCCTTGTATGTAGTTTTGCTCATTTGACAGTTACGCAAAAAGAAAGGGTTACAAATGTTAGACACAACTGTAAAATGTCCTCAAAGGATTCAAAGACTTAAAAATCAATCAAGCTGACAATGTCTCGAGTCCTACAATGTCCAGTATGCTGAAGTCTATTATGTCCAGTCTCAAAATTAAATGTTTGTTATGATGGCAAAGCAAAAGCAAGAAGATCGAGAACTTCACAAGTGCTTTAACAGCCTAGACTGAATAAATTATTTCTGATTTGATTCTAAAATGTCCACTTGCCAAAATGTCTAGTATCTCATGGCGGCACTTCACTTGGCGATTGGTGTTTGCTATTTGAAAACTTGACAAAAGTCTGTCCTTATCATGCTTTATAACAAATGATTTATAAATAGCAAACACGAATAGCCGAGGGCCGAAATAGAAAAGCCGTTCTATCAAATTATTCCGGTTTGTAAGTAGGGAAAGGGCCGTTTTCCTATTTAAAGTCAATGTCTATAACCATTTTATCTATTTCGTATACAGTATGGAGCAAGCGGCAACCAACAGTCGCGTTTGAACCAGTGGAAACTGCCTTCCTTGGACAAGGACGGCGAAGGGTCTGAGTTCAGTCGCGCCCCGGGCACTGCCAAGTCTGCCGCCAGCCCTCAGCTCAACCAACTCGGCCTGCAGCCCGATACGTGAGTATTTTTGTTGCGGATTTAATCGGATCATACCAAATTCAGTACAGCCGGCCTATTAGCAAACTTTTTGACATTTGCACAGTGTAACTGTAGAGAAAATTGAATGTCCAGCGATGCTTTTCAGAACAAGTACCTTAGTGGAGTTATAATAACGCAGAGTCGATCAATAAATAGCTCCGTAATTATCACTTCCATCTGTCAAATGCAGTTAACGAATAGGCCTACAGAACGTAATAGTAAATGAAGGCATTTACTATTACGTTCTGTAGGCCTATTCGTATGCGGGATGGCGGCCAGTTGTATTCGCTTGCTATGTAAGCGAGTGGCCAAACACGAGCAACCAATAAGGGCTGGCCGCGGCCGCCGCCCGTCTGTCTGTGATATACTTTAACGGCTAGTTTCAATAACTAACCTTCAGCAAAAGGTCTGGTTCTGTTTCTTAGCAATGCTTGTTAAAATAGTCTTAATAATAAAAATATCTTACCAATAAAGCTAGAGTCGGCCTACATTTTACTGGAGTTTGATTGAAACTGTGCTCTACTGTGCGTTGATGCCGCTCAATCGGACGTTTTTCCATACAAAGATTGACGATAACGATCCTCTGCCTCTGTACTTCAGACCAATGAATATGGAATTTTCCAGACGATTTCGTACATTTGCCAGTACTTAGGGGGTGGGACGGTGCTGGATGGCGGTGCTGACGTGGCCGACGGCAAGGACGCGTGGCCAACACACCCCGTCATCTTACGTACAGACCAATGAATATAGATTTTACGGACGTTTTCGTACTTTGCTCAGTACTTGGGGGGTCAAACGGGGTTCCGAAGCTTGGGGCGTCAGCGGCGCCGACGTGGCCGACAGATAGGACCCGTGGCCCGCGCACCTCGTCGTCTTATGTACAGACCAATGAATATAGAATTTCCCTATCTTTTTCGTACATTTGCCAGTAATTGGGAGATCGGACGCGGCTCCGAGGGTTGGGGCGACAGCGGCGCCGACGTGGCCGACGGCAAGGACGCGTGACCCACCCACCTAAATTCTTTCGTATAGACCAATGAATATAGAATTTCCCTCATGTTTTCGTACATTTGCCAGTACTTGGGGGATCGGACGCGGCTCCGAGGGTTGGGGCGACAGCGGCGCCGACGTGACCGACGGCAAGTACGCCTGGCCCACGCACCCCGTTGTCTTATGTACAGACCAATGAATATAGCATTTTCCTGACGTTTTCGTACATTTGCCAGTACTTGGGGGATCGGACGCGGCTCCGAGGGTTGGGGCGACAGCGGCGCCGACGTGGCCGACGGCAAGGACGCCTGGCCCACGCATCCGTCGCACCAGCCCGTCTACGATCTCGTGCCAGAGTTCGAGCCCGGCAAGCCGTGGAAGGTAAGCTGTTAATGTTACAAACGTTGATGAAACTTACTTCACTCTAAGTAGAATAGGGATGACGACCTAATTTATTCTTCTTCGTCTGTCAAGTAGATTATCAATAAGTATTGAACACGTATTTTTTCTTTATTCACATAATCGAAACATTACAGAGATATATTGGTTTGAAATGTGGCATGACGTCACGTCTTGGTACAATTTTTACATAAGAGATACATCATGAGCCCTCACTCCCAAACTTTGAGGCGCTTTAGCTTTGTAATTTTTTGGTTGATTGGCAAAAGAAATATTTTTGACCATTATTTTTTGACCATCTAACTGACGGAACATTATTTCGTTTACCTTACCCTGTCATCATCCCTATTAAGTTTTCGTTATCAACAAGTTCGTTCTTCTTCTTCATTGCAATGACTGTTTCCGATATTCGACGTCCTTACGACGTCTGTTTTGCGTGTAACGAGTTAGTTATGGTAAACTATCTCCAAATATTTGTAAAATAGTTAACCACAGTTGTTTAATTCCTCAACATACAGAGACACACACACTGACAATGTGACTTTATAGTGAATGATGAATTGACGTGTTCCCATTAAGAGGAGTAACTTGTTGCTAGGAGCTTTCATAGTTCAAGAAGACCTAAAGTATACTATGTATAAAGCAAAAAAAAAGTGAGCTATTATACAGTTACTGCTCAAGACCGCCACATTTGGCATTGAAGTGATTGTCCTGAAACAATATTGACAGTTTGCCAACTCATTGGCCACATTTGCTTATGTTACCGACCTAAATGTTGGGACCTTTTTACTACCTGTGTGGGATATTTGGCAGCTGGCTAACATAAAACATTCTCCTAGCTGAGCATGGAGATAATAATAATAATAAAATGATGTCATGTGCAATTGATGTCTCTTACCTCAGCATTTATGAAATCTATGTTAAAATTCTTAAATTATGAATTGTTTTATTACTTTATAACACTAATTGCAGCCATATCTTATGATTGGTGCAGGGAGATGCAAAATTAAACATCAATTAGTACGAAAATGAGTCCCCTTGTCCACGCCATATTTACTATTTGAAAATAAACATCATAGTTCTGATAGGGTTGTAAGACTTCATATTTAAGTTAGATGTTGTCAATGTTCCACTGTTGCTTGCATGTGAACAATAACAAATGGTGTTAGCATTAGCATAAGCTTTTGTCTAAATGACTTAATAATTAAAAGGACACAATTTTATAAATCATGTTGTTAGTCACAATAAAATATCATAAAAGCTACCCTCAAATCAACAAGAATGAAAATATCTACCCTCAACAGGGTAACCAGATGAAGAACGTGGAAGACGATCCAGCTATGACGCCCGGTTCTGTGGTGCGGTCCCCGCTTTCCTTAGCGGCTATTAAAGATACAGACATGTTGGGGGGGAAGACTTCACCCCCTGGTGGAGAGCGTTCTCTCTCTTCTACCACTTGGAGCTACGCTCCTCCGGCTACTAGTGCCGCTGCGGCACTAAAGCCCCCGGCGGATACGTGGGCGGGGAAGCCCCGGCCTGGGCCCCCTGGTTTGAACAAACCGTGGCCTCAGCACCATGGCAATGCTCAGCAGCGGCCAGTCACTTCGTGGCAGGCTTCCACTTGGCTCCTATTGAAGAACCTTACTGCTCAGGTATTTATTTATTTACTTAACTGACATGTGAACATAATTTTTCTCTAAAGCCAATTATTTATGATTTCGAATAATGAAAAAAAAAAGTTTATTTAACTATACTGTCGCATTGGTTTTTGGATAGCAATGAAACAAGATAACACATCGATAATCATTACATTAAAATGTTGTCTCTTGAATTCAATCTTATTTACTCAAGTTGAAATTTACATTTCTTTTTATCATCCATTGTGTTATAATAATGTACTTATCTTTTTGCTCTTTGTTAACTTACGGTTGTTATCAGAAACCTTCTGATTATTTTAATTCTTTATAAACTCATGTGTTGTCATATTTTTTATGTATCTCATTGACTTATTGTTATTTTGTTTTTGCAAAGAAAGAGAAACCTCTGAGTGTAACTCTTAGTTGGATATTGTATTTAAATCGATTGTTAACAGCAATAATGTTACGTTTGTTCAGATCGATGGGTCGACGCTGAAGACCCTTTGCATCCAGCACGGTCCCCTGCAGAACTTCCATCTATACTTGAACCAGGGCCTCGCTCTAGCCCGCTACTCCACTCGCGAGGAGGCGGCTAAGGTACGTATCAATGATGACAATTTAGATTTAATAGGTCTTTCTCTTTTTAAGTAATAATAATTCTCATGTAAGGTAGGTATAACTGAAGTAAGGTAGATTATACCAGGTAGTTCGCTGAAATCGTAAATTCTTCATGAAGACTGTGCCTTATAAGAGATTTCATAAATGCTTACCATAATTTCACTGTAAATTCCTATTACCTCTACTTGCCAACTTCAGTTTCTAACTGAAGTAAGGAAGAGTATACTAGGTAGTTTGCTCAAATGACCATAATTTCACAGTAAATTTCTATTACGTCAACTCACCAACTCTAGTTCGAGAGAGACCTAGTTGGGGACTATTGTTAAAACAATGTTGTGAGTATATTATGTCTTTTGTCAAATAAATTATATAATATTTTTTTTTTTACTTTATGGATATATAAGATTTTAGTTTAGTTTTATTATATTAATAATCATAACCTTTTGTCCAGTATTTTAATAATTACAAGTTTCTTAAATTACTATTATACCCAATCTCATAATTAGAATAAACCTCTAAATAAGTAGTAGGCAAAGTACTTTAGCAACGACCATAGACAAGGGAGCCTGCGCAATAGCAATGCTACATAAAAAAAAAAGTCTAAGGCTCAAGTTTATTTGTCTGCGGTGTTGCTCAAGAAGTTTGCCCTGACCTTATAACAAGCGATTGATTCTACTTTTTCCGACCGCAAACAGGCTCAGATGGCGCTAAACAACTGCGTGCTTAGCAACACGACCATCTTCGCGGAGTCGCCAGCCGAGTCCGAGGTGCAGATGATATTGCAGCACCTCGGCTCCGGCGGCGGCGGCGCCTGGCGCGGCGGCGGCGGCGGCGCCAAGGACGGCTGGGGCGGGTTCCCGGGGCTTTGGCCCGACCACGACCAGAGGGCCACGCCTTCCTCCCTCAACTCCTTCCTACCACCCGACCTCCTCGGCGGCGAGTCCATCTAAACCAGCACCGAGGTAATTTCCGCCACTCTGACCGCCACAAGAAGTTCAACAAGTTTCGAAGCCGAAAATCGTCGTTTAGCAGCCACCGTGCAACGACACTGCTACTCTGATTTCGGAATCAGACGTTCGGAGTGCGCTGATTTCTGATCCATCTGCGCGTTCACGCCGTCGCCCGGACTTACGGAGATTCGACCGACGCTGCCCTGTACTGTACATACCGTTGCCGTGTCAATTACCCACGAGTTGCGAAGCTTCGGGTCTGCTTCGACGGCGGCGCGGACCCTGGTGTCTAGTTGTAATTACGCTTTACCCGTCCCCCGTATGGGGACAGACTAATTTTATTCGCCTAGTCAGATCGCGTCGGACGCGTCGCGCCGCGGACCGCACGAGGCGCGACGCGGCCGCAGTAGCCAACTGTCCACAATACTATTATCTACTGTGTTTGTAAGTGTTCATGTAGATTATTTAGTGTACATAAGAATTATACATATACAACGGCAGACATAGAATGTATCGACAGTTATATGAAATATATTATTAGCGCTAGGTGGCTGGCCCGCGGGCTGGTGAGACCGGCCCGCGGACCGTACTTGATCGGACCGGATGGACCGCGGGTCCGTTCCTGTATTCTACCAAATAACGTAGTATCGGAATATAGAGTAGTTGCGTCGCGGGCTACCTCAGTCACTCGTCCCGTGGCCTTATTTTAGTGTGTATTTATTTTGTTGCACTCGAGGGCTGTTGCTGTTTCGCCCGTCGAGCTGTTGCGTTCCGAGTTTTCTCTTTCGTGTTCGTGTTTTTTTTATTTTTTTTTCTCGTTTTATCCATACTGATGTATTTTTAATTATTATTTATTCTGTTTTGAATTCTCACTCGTAATGAGCCTTTCGTTTTCCAATAGTGATATTTTTATTCAGCAATAAATGTATAAGTGCATTTCGCAGATAAACAAATGTTTACAATTAGTTTGTAATTTTATATAATAAAAAATTTAATAAAAAAAAAATGAAAATTATGAGATTCGAAGTGCATTCTTGTAGTGGTAAATTCCTTTTAAGCAGTGTATAGTCTGAAATGGAAATGAGTATATACAAAAATATATACTGTGGAGCGAGCGGCGCCGGCGCTTGCACTGAACGTTCGCAAGGGCGGTGCAGGTGGGCCAGAGAGCGGAGCATCTGTGAAGTAACGTCGTGCTTCTATAAACGTGACTGTTGAAGTGTGCCGAGTTAGTTGGACGTTATACGACGATATCGCTGGGTTCTCAGTTCTCCCCACCCGTGATGGCGTCGGGTGGGACGGTACAGAACGTGTGCCCGGGTGCTGGCCGGGCGTCGCCACGGTGTCGACAGTGAGTGACGACAGTGTGGACAATATTACGAACGAAGTTTAGTATACAGTGGTGGTGGCGACGCCGGCCGCAGAATGGCGAACGGACCGCGCGCTCCCTTGCAATCCAGTAATCCTGTGATGTAAAGTATCTTGCCTAAATGTAAGGATAATCTATTTTGTTGGAGGGTATCGAACGAGAAGCGAGTCGCCGGCGCGGCGGTCCGCCTCCGTCGTTGCTGATGTTTCCCCAAAATTTTTCCAGTATTTGTGATTCAAGTGCCACTTTATGTTTAATAATATATGAAACGATTATCTAGATTATACGATTAATGTAAGGGTAACCTAATATATTATTAAATTGAAAAAATTGTTTTATCATTTTATATTACATACATTTGTGAGAAGTGTTAAAAAAGTACTATAATTGACAGTAAATATTACACTTTTGTGTATAGGTAAGAATAAAGTTCTAACTTAAATTTAGCCATATCAATATCTATTTAATAAAAAAAAGATTTGTGGTATTTTCTATAGGCTCAATTTGAACGTTATTCAAAGTGACATATGCTTTAGATATTCTGTTAATAATATACTTGTAGTCGTAGGCTCCATGTCGGTATTACATCATTGTAGTTATATAAGTATACACTTAAGTCCTATCGTAGGTTTCAATAAGAATACTATTGATATTTAATGGCAACGATCGCACTTGTAAATGTTCGTTATTATAAAGTTTATTTACATTTTTATTTACTTTTTAATTTATTAATGGTGTGCCACAGAGATACTCTGCCAAAATATATCATTACCAATATATTACGGGATTAGCTAAGCAGAGAGGCGGGTAGACGCCCCCCCGTACCATAGAGACCGTCTACGACGGACCCACCACGCTTTCGGCCTCCCGCCATCACAAAGCGAATGACTAATGTACATTATAATAAATATCTTGTATTTCGTGCATCTTCCAGTGATCTTACGATTAAACATAACGACTAGCTGTAAGTTAGGTGTAAGTAATCGCTGTACCTTGTCGGGCCTCGCGCTCGAGAACTTTCACAAATTAATTAAGTTAGGAGACGCGATATTGGATATATATTTGTGCGTTATGAACTCTTGATCGCTTCGGACCTGTAGTAGTTCTAGTTGATTAAATGTTTCGATGTATGATGTGTTCATTTAGAAACAGAAATTAGCATCTCTCATTACTACCTTGATACCTTACTATAGGGACCGACGGACGGTGTTTCTCTTTCACGAATTGCATAATCTTTGTTGCCTAATTGTTTGCGAATCGTTCGTGTACGACGGTTACAGTGGCGGTCAAAGTTGTAAACGTTGGTTATAGTCGGGACATATTCCAAAGCGCGCTATAAGACTGTCTGAACATCTCCACCGCAATGATAGCAACGCACATCATACTATGCAATCGCACCAATGACGCAACGTTGCAAAAGGGGCCATAACTAGGTATTGTCTTGAATTATAATGTTAGATTGCCAAAGAGTGAGTATCAAAGATATAAATGGTGTCTAAAACCAGATTGCATCTCTGCGCTTGATTATTCTTCCAAATTGATTTGAAATTATTTTTGTGGTACGGGTTATTGATCTGATGTTCCTATATCAATCGTGTTACGTCTGTACAACAATAGTACACACAAACTAACAGTTCTATGTCAATTCTATTGTTGTCGAGCTCAATTTACGGGAGGGTCTTTTTTTATCTAATTGATAAAGTTAAAATGAGAATGTTACATTTTTTTACTGATATTACTATTCTGTCCACATGTAGTACACCGACGTACTCGTTGCGGAAACTGCAAAAGTTCTCCGGTGGAATATGTGAATTTAATTCAGCAATAAAATATTAACATTGAACATTAATTTTTATAAAAGTTTTTTCAATATTTTAATAGTAGACAAGCCGAAGTAACGGAAAGTATAATGATCCAGTGCCCTGTAGAATACGTTGTCCATAGAATAACGACAATCGTAATGCCTTGAAATGTTTAGTCAGTTAAAAGGTAACCAGTACTTAAATAATGGGTATAATGTTTAGGCGTTGTGGTAGGAGTGGCGAGAGCGGCCACGCCAGGCCTCAAGGTTGTGAACAGTGGCGATCGCACCGCCGCGTTAACTGAATCTCCTCTGGTTCAATGACTGCGTCTTATTTCCTGCACACAATTGCCCACGTGCAATTTAGTCTGTGTTATTATTATGTTGTTGTATATTTATTACATACATCTATACCGTAATATGTGTATATATTGTGAAATTTATATTCATAAAAAAAAGATTTAATACGCTTCACGCTTTCACTTTTAACATTTTCGTAACTTGTTTCTGTTATTTAGAATAAATTTACGTACCTAATTATAATAATTATCATAGGTGTAAATGTAAGAATATATAAAAAAACAAAAATAAAAAAAATAAAAAACGAAAAAAAGAGAAAAGCAATTAAAAGAAACCAATGATTGTGCCTCAATGAACTGTGGTACGTTACCGTAACCGATGGCAGGTGTAATCGTTTCCTTCAAAAATGTATTATAATGAATTTGTGCGCTCGGCCGCCTGGTCGGGCGGTAGACAATATAAGGCTGCGTGCAGCGGGGCCCGCGCCCACGCCTTTGTGTAATCATAAATGAGCTTAGCTATGTTTTACTTTTATTGTAAGTGTTATGTCGTCAATCAACATTTTATATATATACCTATGTGTAAATATTTTTATCTATTTATTTTGGTTTTTTCATGAAGTTTACCCGAATTAACGAACTTGAAAAATTTGTTGCTTTATTTTTGAGTCACTTTCGTATGATACATTTATAATCACGCGGGTTTCGTGCGAACTCGTATCCAAATTCGTGTCTATTCCACAACTTGAATGCCAAAGTCGATGTCTATGCCATTAAACGACCACTACTGTTCTTAGATTATCTGCATCGATCTCTGACATCACAACAATATATTGATCGTACAAATGCGAGCCATTTATAAAAAATATACAGCCTCTGCTTAGGTCGTTATTCTATCCAAGCTGCTCTGGTGTTATTTTAGCTCAAGTATTCAAATAGTAGTTTGCTCATAATATTGTTGTTAATTTTAATTATTTTATTGTATTTAAGGCTGTAGTACCGTTCGAGGATATCAGTACGCGAATCGCTTTTTCAAATAATTCTGTAGACACCGTAATGTTTTGGTTCTAGCTCGCTGTGATCACACGACTGAAGTTCAAATATAATATGCGAATAGTGATAGGGGGTTACCTGGGACTCGGTGGAGATCGCGTACTGACTTCTCGCGGTGTTGACACTAAACGCTTTCCCTATTAGAGTGGAGTGTATTCTAAAAACCTATTTTGTAATCTCCCAATTTAGCTTTTAATCCCGTGAGTCGTCGTATTCAGTGAGTCGGTATGCCGCCTATATTTTATTTCTGAACTGTCACACGATTTCGTGTAATTTTTATAGTTTTCATTCGCTGTTTGCTGCTAGTGATTTCGGCACGATCGAGTCATTGGGCATAGAATGTCAGCAGCAGTGCGCTAGCGCTTCTGCTCATTGTCGCAATCTCTTCATTGTGTTATTAACGCATTGTACTTCAAACTGGCACACGTTACTTATTCTTATCTCAGGTATAGGGACCAAACATGTATGGGGTAGTGTGTCTTGCTGAATTCTCACAAAGCTGAATTGACTCAACGCATAATCACTAAAAGACATTTCTCATTTTCCATTGTTTGTATCCTCTGCCGTCGCATAATAATGACGAATTTGAATTTATGACATTACTTAGTGATAGTGTTACAATATTCAAGAGGGCCTTTTAATTTTAATAAGGTTAAAGTTTTTCTTGTTGTCTTTATTTATATATATTTTTGTACGTTACGACGTTGGGCGTCCTACAATAGAAGCACATTAGGTGATATCTACAAAGAAACTAGTCTTCCTTGTTTATGAGGGGTCGTGGCGGTGATGCGACGTCGGCACAAGAGGCAATCATTCCTCTAGTCTTGTTATGTGGTGCGATAAAGTTAATACCAAATATAAATAAAATAAAAAAAGGCTTTTGACGTAGTGTGTAGAGGTATTATGGTAGATCGGCCCGAGCAGCTTGGAACCCTGTGACATGTTACAAGGGAATGGTTGGGTAGTATTATAATAATGCATTTATTTCTCTTTTTATCATAGTCACTCAAGCATATATTTTTAATTAATTGAGCTAATGCCTAAAATTGGAATATCAGAGTTTATTTAGGATGTTTCATATTTTACATTTTAGTGTTTAAATATCTAAAATTTACCTTAATTATAGTGAATGGATTTTTGTATTATTGGTATATAGCTGTAAGTTAAAGGGTGTTCTTGATAAACAACAAACAACTGATTATAACAAAAAAAAAATTAACTGAGTGACTTTACGTGTAAACAGAGGGCCATTGATTAAAAAATGTTGAACTAAGCTAAATTCTCTATAATGGTAATTTAACTAAATGTGATTGCTGAAAAAATATTTTTAACTGCTTTATGTATAGTAATTATAGATCAGTAAGTCGCCATTTATCCGTTAGCTCGGTGAGCGGTATCAAACATACATGCACACTATCTGTATTATGTAGTCGATCTAATAACGGGGAGGGAACGCAGACGTTTTGGCGTCACATCGAATCGTAAATTGGTTGTGTAAGTGTTACGTTGTTCGTGCCAAGAAATAGTTTACAATCACGTCAGAAAGATTCATACATTGATTCCAACCTCTATGGTCCATACAACACGTGCGGGCATACGTGTGTAAGCTCAAGTTTCTGTGCGCGAACTGTAACGAATAGTCTACTTATGTCTTTAGAGCCCAAATGTCTGCGTTTCCGCCGCGATCAGGTGCATACCTTCTCTGCGAGCAATAAAAAAAACACTATAGTTGCATTTGATTCGTTGTATTGGAACACTATTATAGCGTTTATGTATATATGTATGTGTACGAAGGCCAACCCCCACCACATAGTTAATTGATGCAGTAGACTCCAGATGCTGCTTGCTAACTACACAAGACACTGCTTCTCTAGTCTCTCTTGCATTCGAACATCGCTTTAATAAAGCTTTTGTTATCGAGCATAATTAACGATCATATCCTTTTATGACTAGTTTATATTCGTATTATTCTTTCATTAGATCTCTGTTGTACCTGTTTGAAATTGTTTATATTGAATGTTCATTTGTACGCTAAGAGGAGTGCATCGGTCTCGACGTCACCGTGCTTCATTCGATATACGTAATTGTAGTACTAGTGACCAAATTATCTGTTCCACTAAAACGAAAAACCTCTCAATATGTCCATATCTATTGGCGTCAAAATCAATACTCTGTGGTCTTAAATTAGTCACTTTTGTACCTTGATTGTACTTGAATAATAAAACCTAGTAAGTGAGGAACGACTAATCCAATTCTGAAATATACTTAATTTAAATTTTAACAGACTGATATCTGTGATTAAGAAAATATTTTTAAATATTATCCAGTGAGTCGGATGAGAATATTTATTTTGTTAGAGGTTTCCTACTGCCGTCGCTCGGCGCATATTACTATGTGACGTGACACTACTGCTTCGTATATTTTTTTACTTTAGTGAGAGTAACGAGTTTGAATACATATTAATATGATCATTGTTGACAACTGACCTTTCGTTGGTACTAGTTTTACATTTAAACGAACAAGCTTGTTAAATAACAAACCAACCCCACCATAGCATAGTAGCTACCCTATGGGAACGTGCATTACCAAGGTGTAACGATTACATGACATAATTTCTTAATGAATTCTGTCTGCACACTATGGAGACTGATAAAACTGAAGTTAATAATGTTAATAACCACCGATGTCATCTGAAATTGTTTTCTTAAAATACCTATTTGATCTTGAACGTTGCATATCTACTACATTTCTAATTCGAATGATTTTGTTGTATTCATATCTGTAATTTCCACAACATATGAGTTAAGTTTGATATTTATAAAAAGCCTTATGTTAACATAATAATTGTATTTAAATACCTGGTAGTTAGTTACGTAGTGAGTGACATCTCATTTATATGAAAGTAAAGCGATTGGCATTTCACTGACTAAATAATATTTTTGGTACCACCTTTGAGTTAAAAGTACAATGTAGTTATAAAGCGTGTTTAATTGATGTATGTATTCATTACAACAATATCAATGGTAATCTAAGTTAGTGTAGACTTAAGATGTCTCGTCTCACATTACACCAATTAATAATTAATAAATCTCCTTGATATTTGTATTGGAACACTTACTATTAATAGGCCAGATACTAAATTATGTCATATTTACTTGTATCAATAGGGTAAAGAAAAATATAATGAAAAAAGGCAAAAAAAAAAATTTTTTTTTCTGTGCAAAACTCTGTGATGAGAATTTATTCTAAAGATCTAGTATTAGCTGAAAATGAGACGAAGGCTTGTCACTCTGGAATTTCCCCTCCATTTTGTGAATGTAACAGCTGTTAATACTCATGTTATGTAAAGCTGACACCCGAGGGGAAATAACTCGTGGCATGCCGGAGTTTCATTGTGACTTTGAAAGTTGAACTTTTCAGTCTTTGCGCGCAAAGGGTTGTGTATTATTTTTACGTAGTACAAATGTGTTCGCAATTTGATTGCTGCTGTAGTGTTCCTTATGTTCTTATTCAAATTAACTTTGTTGGGTATTTATTTGGAAATTTGTATTTTTAATAACTAAAATGTATTGTAAATCATAAACGAGGCGAGCGTTAAAATTTTGTAATAGGAAAATTGTGTATGAACGGCTGCCTTAATAGTAATATGTGTATCAACCTTCCTTCCTCGTACATGTGTGTAGTCCGGGCGGTTCGCTGTATAGAACCGCTTTGGTCCGCCACGTACCAAATAATAGGGTAGCCATGATTTGGACCGCGCGACCCCAGCTTTTGTTCACTTTTGCCATGGCGACTGGGCATTTTCTTACTCCTTTATGCTGCGTTCACAATAAGTATGCTTAAGTGCCTTCAGATTTGTATGTAAGCGAAATTCAACGCGAAATATTTTTTTACCAAGTCTTTTCGATTCTTATTGCATATTATATTCATATCATTTTGTAGATAAATCAATTAGTGAAATATTCGTTTTAGACAGTAGGCTCAGTCGCCCACCGGCAGAGGGCTCGCGTGGTCCTGAGCTCTTATCTATTACCTCATTCAATAACCTCACATAGTGTGTCCTATATCAAATTATTTTATCGACTCTGTACTTATCGCACGCACTGCACTGTTATTTGGTACACTTTACTTCTGTTTAAGTTAATTTAAGGTGTTTTATCATAAATTTTATCAGATATTCGGTATATTTTCCTGTTACTTTTCTGATACTACCTAAAAGCAATGTATTTTACAAACAAAACAGGAGAACAATAATTATTATGTAAGTGTAACAGTTAGTGAATTTAAGTGTGCTATTTTCCATTCCAGAACTCAACGATATCAATGTTCATGTAAACTTATGTTCGGGTTTTAAAAATGTTATTATTGTATAATTAAAACTAAACCTTATGTGATTGAAATGCAATGTTTAGAAGTATTTTATTCTTTATTTTTTACCATTAATTAATGAATAGTTAGTAGAGATCTATTTGAGAGTCTAATGTATCAATTATTTGTAAAGTTGGCTGTAACTAATTAGAAAGTTACAATAAGTAGACATATTTTAATATAATAACATTTGGAGCAAATTTTATGTAGACGACAAAATAGTTGTTTTGATGATTATGTGAAGTGTTGTATCGTATCGTATCGTTAGCGCAATGTGTACGCACAACGGTGAGGCGGGTCGAGGGTCGCGGCGGGCGGCGGCGGCGGCCGTGGCGGCAGCGAGCGAGCGTGCGACATGCGACGCGTGTAGCGACCGCGACCGCCCGCCGCCGTCGCCCCGGCGCGACCTCCAGTCACTCCTCGACCGGCAGACCCTCGACTCTCACTGCACAGCACTGCTAGACTAATTCAGTTATGCGTAAGGATATTTTTCTTACATTTCGATAAGAGTAATGTTTATAGTATAGGCAATAAATAATGTTTAACAAAAAGTCCCTATATAATCGAACTGACGACAGAAACGCATGTTATATTTGTGGCCTCTTTATGAATAAGATCTAAGTTACATGTTAAAGAAAATTAATTTTGCTATGCACAGAAATGATACTCAATTAATTGCCAAAAAGTTATATGTATATTCATAGTTCAACAATATTTCTTTTGGGCATATTTACTTTGAATTTATTATGCAAACTTAGATTATGATTAAGTAGTTGTAGATTTATATGTAGAGTGAATGCATATATTATAATATAATATATCTATATATTTAAAAGTAAGGTGAATTTGAGAGGTATCAATTTCATGTATTGTTCTTAAGTTTAGATAATAAATGGGTTTAGCCATACTTCGGCTGGTTTGATATGTATGTTATCTGATTAATTGTAAAAAAAATAAAAAAAATCATTAAACTCGTTAGTTTTATTTATCTCCACTTAAATACCCTGTATGTTTTTTGTGCCGTTTTATCACGGTTGATGATTGTCTTTGCTTGGGAAATGGGAACATTGCCAAGGGCTCAGTGTATTTCTGGCAGCTGGGAATTTTGGTTAGTTCTCAAAATATTCAAAAAATTAATAATAAAAGGGAATTCAAATACCTATATAGTTTATGCTTGTGTTAAGGAGGAGCTCGTTGGCGCAGGTGGTTATCGCATTCGTCACGGTCTACGACCGTGCGTCACAATGTACCGCAAGCAAGAACAACTAGCAAGAAAGTATTTTTAAAAGCATGTCAAAGTATATAGATTTTTGGATAATATAATTTCATGGCACAATTTTAATAAGATATTATTGAAAAAACAGGTTTTTTATCTACTGCCCGTCGATGTCTGCGGCTGCCCGCGCCGCGTACACAAAGCACACGACGGGCAGAGGCGGTCAGTTTAGGACGTTCGTTCTAGTGAATAGTCCATTACTAATAAGCGCGTGGCGCGGACTGAGCTGACCGCCCCGCGCCGCCGTCTGCGTTACTGCATATAAACTGGTTTGTTTGTATGATCCACGGCGGGTAGCCGCGGACATGCTGCGCCGCCACTGCCCGCCGGGCACCTGCGGCGCGGTCTTTTTGCCCTCTGTGTGCGTTTGAAGCAGTGTTTCCACTTTAATGATTTCCTTTCCCCACGCCTCAATTCAGATTCCCCTTGTTAGGACATTTTTCCCCTCAAAAAATATTCTGATGTAGTGTTTAGATTTGGCACTAGTGTACTAACTAAAGAAAAACAAAGGTCTTAATCTATCTTATTCTATAAAAAAATTGTTCCGTGCCGCATTATTTTGGGCTAGGCTTTACCCATAATTTCCCGCAATTTCCCCTTTTTATGTCTGTCCCCTTTTTCTTCCCCTCTGGATCCTAATTTCCCCTTAAAAGGGGAATTTCCCCTCATTGTGGAAACACTGGTTTGAAGTATAGGATTCACTTTGTGCTATTATTTGCGGCGAAATTGAATGGCCCGCCCCGCCCCGTCGTCTGCAAAGTGCCTAAAACCAGCCTTACAGGTATGTGGAAATTGTGGGACTCTTTATTCCCACTTCTACCTGTTATCTACGGTAGAACTAGGGTTGCCAGATGTTGGCTTATCAATTCCGGGATATTCGCACCCCCCCCCCCCCTAAAAAAATAAAGCATCATCTCAAACCCCCCATCAACCCCCCGGATTTAATTCTGTGGGGTGATCTGAATCTGAATGACATCAAGCAGCCAAGTGGTGTCATTCGTTATTAGTTTATTTTGTTACGAAACTAGCACATTATCGGAATCAGGGACAATAAGGTCTACTGGACACGACACAAGACGCAAAATTCCGGGACAATCCCCGATTTCCCGGCCATCTGGCAAGCCTACCTAGAACTAATGGGAGATTTTGTTCCCACAAGTCCTACGTTGTTATATGTAACAAAATAGGAAAACTTGTGAAACTTTAGTTCCATCAGTTGTACTCTGTGAAATCTATAATTTGTATTGTCTGGCAATCGGATTTAAATGCAAATTAAATATATCACAAATATTTATTACTGAAAAAAAAATATTAACAAAGTTCTACCGTAGGATTGCTCAGTAGGAACGTACCGGATGATAATCACATCGTCATAGTTGCTACAAATGCCTGCGAGCATTATTAAACATTCTTAAATTCCAATAGCATGTACCATGTTTATCGGCGCGGATTTTTCCGCGTCTTTTTCTAGTCGCTGTGATTCTTTAACCAAGGTCCTCTGACCAACTTTTAACGTGCCTATCATGGCGTTTTAAAATTGGTTACTTTTTTACATTAAAACAAGAAGGGAAGATACCGTACGCTCATACTAGCATCAAAAAAATGTGCTCCGAATGAACTAGGTACTGTACGCTTCAACGCAGCGCGAGCGAAACGGCGAGTTTGTGTCCCAGTCCGCTCGGTTAAGCTGTATTGTTGTCCTTTTCTTGATAACAAAATGGCGATTACGTAAAACGTAAATAACATTCACGACAAACCGTGATTTTTAGGAAAAAAAAGTTTTTACAGTTTTACGAATGAAAAGTGTCGCCGAGGCATTTGTTATTTCATCTTTAACTACTTGTGTTCTTTATAAAAGCATCGAAGGCATTGTTTTATCTTTATAACACAATATACGCATTATTGTTATATTGAGTGCACATGCATCGTGTTTGAATGTCCAATTGTGACTAAAGCGAATTGTGGTCATGCACCACAATTTAAGCGGATCACTTTTGAGCCGCGAGTGCCGTATCTTCCCTTTTTGTTTTAATCTAAGGTTACTTTTTTTCCTTTGTCGGCAATATTTTCCGTTAGGGAGCTCAATTTATAACGCTTATGGAATGGAATGAAAGCGAATTTCTATTGACATAATAGATGGCATTGCTTTTAATATTTAACATTTGCAAATGTCATAATTAAATTATTGTTTCTTTTATACGAGCTGCAACAAATTGCCCCACCCCACTTGATACTAAGTGGAGTCCAGCGAGAAGATAGATGATGCGAACTATGCCGCTCCAGGCGTCCTTACCTCTAGGCCTATTTGTCTACTTATTGATGTGTTAATCACCGAGCTATTAAGTGATCCAGTACTGCTTTACTATAACGCCACTAAGATATTTATTCTGAGAAACATCGATGGATGTTATTTTCTCTGTAGTTACTGTAAGTGTCGCCGCACACGGGCCACACCGACCACAATAACAAAACGCCGCCACCGGCATATTTCTTGTAGTTTTCATACATGTTATATGGACTCGCCACACACGGTACGTTCGGTTGTTCGCTTAATGCGCCGTCGCGCCATTACAAAACACCGCCACACGCCACTCGCGCAATTCCCCACCCCTCTCTCCCTTACCTTAGTCGGCCGCTGTCGCGCGCTTCAGCCAATTTAGAAGTCGCTTCTAGCTTCTTGTGGCGGCGTTTGTGGCTGTGGCGTGTGGCCCGTGTGCGGCGACACTTAATGTCAAAAAAGTTAGCTTATAGGCCGGCTGATCCCAATCCCCTACCCCGCGGATCCTATATCCTACTCATCAGGAGAAACACAACACCACCAAAAGGTAGTGTTATTTAACTGTGGCCTTCTGTACGGTACCTAGAGGTTGCTTCCCTAGACAAGGGTTTTAAATCGCTGTGGCTTATCTCTTTTAAACAGTAGACTGTTCCACAGAATAATAAATATATGTTCTTACTAAAAAAGTTTACTAGGCCCAGTCAGGTATTAGGCTAGAAATACCCTATCCAGGCGAATGTACTGATAAACTATGCTACTATCTAGGCCAGCGATGGGCAAGCTTTTGTCTTGTCGTGATAATATTTACTATTAGAGTCTGTGACGGGCCAAGTTTTTTCTCAGGCCACTTACGATTTGCTCCTCGTCCTGCAGCTGCATAGCGGCGAAGTAAATAGGCAAGACCAGGTTCGGCAGCAGGGTGGTCTTTGTCGGGACATGTGGAAATTTTTTTGGTGAGAACCTGTGTTTTTTTTTCTTTGATGGTCGCAGGCAGGATTTCAACGATTCGAGGGCCGGAGATGGCCCGGATGCCATAGTTTACCCATCCCTGATCTTGATACTGTCGCCACATTGACGGACGTGTTGAATTTCTTCTTTTAATAAGTAGGTTTATCCATAAGATAAGCTGACCCTAGCTAGACGATCATGCGGCTTGACATGCTGTTCCTGACTCGAGGATGTAAGAAATAAACAAAATTTGTTTGGTAAATAGTTTATTCAATATAATTTTATATTACAAATTATTACGAATGTCAGCTGTAAATGAAATAAAAATGTCATTTGTATACCTACATTTACTTAAATACATTTACATTATGAAAAAAACTTTCCACATTGGAATTATAAAATATAGATCAATTATAGCAACATATAAAACTCAATAAATTTACTCTATTTTTACTTTCTATTACTAGTTTTTATAGAAAATTGGTCGAATTCAATAGAAAATTTTCGCATGTTTATTAGTTACTTAATAGATCAGAGAAAAAGGGTTTCTCTGTTCTGTGGTAACATAATCTACTTTATAAACCAATTTTGTTTGCAAAAGATATTTGTAACATGGCAACTTGAATTAATTTGCATTGATCTCAACTTAATCTAGAGACAGCCACAGCGCATATGATACCCAAAACTATCAAATTTATCCAAATGATTTTAAGCTTTACATTGCTTTAACACACTTATTAATAAACCAGAAATAATCTTACCTATACTAGTTACACTGTTTTTTGTTCATATCTCTCAAGTTCCATTTGTAATACAGTGAACAGAGACAAAACAGAGTAACTAACCCAAGCTTATTCTTCGTTTATTAATAAGGGGGAAATGGTTTTCAACTAATGATACTAGGTGAGTATAATAATAATAACGAACAACATTTTGCACCTCATAAATGTTGTGTTCACGAGTTAAACTTGGTCTTGCGAAGCTATTTAAGAACAAGCCTCCCGACGCACTCTGCTAACTTTTAAAGTATCATTATGATTATCTACAGCCAGAATTTCAACTGTATAAATTTATTGTACGTTCACCAGCCTATGAATTTACCACAAAATTTCAAATCATTCTAATACACTGTAAACCATATGTTATGCGACACAAAGGTCAAAATCAGTTTAAGAAATTTGACTGTTCTTTTTAACTCTACCTGTTGCTGTTGACTGTACCAACTAATATACTGCGTCAGGGTTAACACAAGTTTAGGACAGACGTTTGATGATGTTTCAATAACTAAAATAAATGCACCTAAAATTTAAACATAAATAAAAAATAACAAGTGAATAAGTGTCAAAGCAATCACAGCTTTCTGAAATTACACAGCTATGTACATATAAAGTTACGTTATGGTTTATGGTTAAAAACGGTTAAAATTCACTGTTTAAAATTTAGTAGTTAATGATTCTTGATTATAACGTCAGCACTTTACCATTTACTCTTATTTCTAAATTTATTTATACCATAGTAAACCCTAAAAGATTACCACACATTGGAGCGAACTTTCGTTTTAAACTTGATAATGGAAACTGGAAGGATATGGTGTGTGGATACATTAACCGTCTTGTGGTTAATGCGTATTAAACGATTTTTACTGGCTATAAACAAATTTGATCGCAGTTACACTAGTTTTTTTATATATACAACCTTTATGTATTCTTTTCTAGGTATGTAGTAACTGCTATATTCTGGAACTTCGCGTGGCTATTCCATTATCAATGCTATTTGTAATTTCATATCAGGTTATCCTTTTCATTTTTTAAATGGCATGTTAGTGTTTTATACTGCCTTACAAATAGCAAACCTAAATAGCTATGTGAAGTGTTAGTATAGCCCCTCGTTTCCACCAAAAAACAAGCCATATGCTAGTCTTAAACAAAACTTGTAGAATAATTGTTGTGGCTATTTAAAACATTATTTCATTTACATTTCATAGACAACTAGTATCTTATAAGTATAAATCACTTTTTTACTTTCCATATTTTGTTTATCCAATAAGTTTGATGGAAGTATTGTACAAAAGTTACATGTTTTATACATGTATATAAGTGTGAAGAAAAACTTAAGACATTGTATAAAATTGGTAAATACATTGGTTTTATCTTGGTGCAAACGAGGGGTTACAGGTACTATATATAATTAATTTCATGCAGTTTATTCGCAATGATATGATATATTATACATAGAGCAACACAGTCAACTCTGTGTTGTTGTTGTTCGTGGTCTTGTCTGGTAAATATTCACCGTCCATTTTTTGGTACAATTGTAGAAGTTGGTTTATGGTTCACTACGAGATAAGTGTAACAAAGTGACTTAGGTAGGTACACCTGAAACCACGCTTCTTTGCCTGTATATATAAAACTCAAAGGTGACTGACTGACTGACATAGTGATCTATCAACGCACAGCCCAAACCACTGGACGGATCGGGCTGAAATTTGGAATGCAGGTAGATGTTGTGACGTAGGCATCCGCTAAGAAAGGATTTTGATCAATTCTACCCCCAAGGGGATAAAATAGGGAATGAAAGTTTGTATTAAACTTTGTCAATTTTAAACCGATCGGACTGAGACTTTGCATGCAGGTATAAGAAGAATCATAGATGAATGTCATTGTGTTTAATACAATCCTGAGAACAAAAACTGTAGTCTACACTTCAGCTATTCACCGAAGCGAAGCGAGGGCGGGCCGCTAGTTAGACATAAACCCCTTTGGAATAATAATCTTTAAATAGTTACGCAGTTTTCTGGTCACGTTCAAAGTGAAGTGCAGCATTACTCGAATGACATTTGGAATGCGACGAAAAGAGATAAAACTTTAAATAAATACAAGGTTACACTGTGTTTATTAACAATGATCTAGCGGTCGCTCTCAGAGGCGCCAATGAAAGTTAATGCTTAATTGTTCACGCGCTGTCTTATTATATCGGTGATCGCTATCGTAAATAAAGACGATAGCAATTTTTTGGGAGATGTCAATGAGTGTGGCCGTGGGACGGTACCTAAATATCCTATTTTTTTTGGTAAAAATAACTATACTTACTTATTATTTGTAAGTATAAAAAAATAAATTAAATATCAAAAAATATCAAATGAATTGCACAACAGCAAAAGGAAATCCCATAACTTTTCCCTTTGCAGCAATTTTGCTAAAACTCAATTTAAGTAATATTAGATTTAGCCCATACAACAATGTTAAATTGAGAATGACTTGAAATTTTAGATGGGTTTAATCTAGTTTTAGTTAAATTGAGATTTAGCAAAGCTGCAAGTGAGCACTAATTAATCAGTAATCTGTACTGTCTGTAGCCGTTGAGTCCTATTTTATCTTGAAAATGTCGAGAACATTTGTGTTATCTCGTTTCGGTGGCGTTCAGCGCTGGAAATATGTGTTTGTACCAGAAGTCGACAGTTTTACCCCATGCTTCCAGTGTCTTCGCGTCCAGCTTTAGAACTTCCACAAACACCTTGACGAGGACGTTCTTCAAGTCCTGCGGGCAAACGGAACGAGTATTTACACAAACATTCTGCAAATAAAAGAGCTTTAGGTACGTATTAAAATGAGAATTCTTTGTCGTTACTAGCTAGCTTTTTAGACTTTTTTAAACAAAAAATAAGTGGCTGTTTTGACTATAATGAAAGCGGGAAAAGGAACGGTTCTCACAAAACAGTGCAACTTTTTTCCCGAAAGAAGTTCCTTAACACCTTCCGGTAGTCCCGGTATTATTGTTGATGTTGACTATCATTTCTTGATAATATATCGTAGGATAATTTGATAAATAGAATTTTTGCTAAAATCCTAGGGATTTTGCGAATACGCAGATAATTAGACAATGGCTATGACATTTTTCAACAGAACTGAAAAAATAAAGAATTTACGGCCTTATTAAGATCGCGAAAAGAATTTTTGGCTTATTTAAAATATTCAATACAATACCTACAATACAAAAACTCTTTATTGTGCACCACAAAAAAACATTGAACATTAAGTACAAAACCATCTAGTAAAAGTGATGCAATGGGCGGCCTTATCGCTTAAAGCGATCTCTTCCAGGCAACCTTTGGATGGAGAAGATTAGAAAGAAGGAAGTGGGACAGACGGCGGTGTAAATCGCCAGTAAAATATATAATATATTAGTATATTCATACATACACCATACATCTGAAAGATATATACATATATATACACACATACAATAAGAATAAATACAAATACATAATAACAATAAATACATACATTGATCTAGTTCAGTTCGGAGTCAGTTGAAAGCACATCAGATAATAAAAGAAAAGTATTACAATGTCAGATAATGGGAATTCAGACGGTTTTTAAATGTATAAACAGTTTCCGCACGTCTTATCGAAACCGGAAGAGAATTCCATAGATGTACAGCACTCTTGCACTGCAAACGAACGGTGGAAAAGAAGTTGCCGGTACGGGAGTCATGAGAGCAAGATTTTCTGATAACGTGTTAGAATTATGCAGGAATTTAAAACTTTCCTTAAGATAGCGCGGGGACTTGGGATTGAACAATATGTTGTAAAGAAGAGAAAGGATGTGAGTATATCGGCGAAGGCAAAAGTAGCCACTTGAGCTGTAAACGAAATTGAGAAACATGATCATATTTGCGCAAGCCAAATATGAAGCGGGTACAAAATTTTTGAAGTCGCTCAAGTTTATTAAGCTGGTCCTCCGTGAGATCTAGATAGCAGACGACGGCATAATCAAGTATAGGAAGCAATAAAGACTATGCTGAGGCAACTTTGGTGGTGACGGGTAGAAAATAACGTAGTCGTAAAGTAACGCTGCTGACGCATACAATTAGCGACTGCATATTGCATCTGCCGGCCCCAACTCATACAGTTGTCAAACGTTAATTCTAAATTTTTTACCGATGTGCTAAAAGGAATAACATTTCCAGCAATTTTGATGTTGGGTTGTGACTGCCAGTGCACTCTATCTAACATTCTAGAACTACCAATTTCTATGCTAGTTGTTTTGGAGGTATTTATTTCCAACCTTTTGGGTTGGTTTGCTCCACTCAGTTGTAGCCCGCACTGCATCACCAAGTTGACCAAGAGGAGCTTGGCGATAGATTTGTAAGTCATTTGCATATAGGTAACAGGAAGATGAAATATTGTTTGAAACGCAGTTAATTAATACAGCGAAAAGAAGAGGAAATAAGACGCCGCCTTGGGGAACGCCAGCAGTCGTGTCGCTCCATGAAGAAAATTTCTCCTCGAGTCGAACGCGCTGCTTGCGCCCATGCAGATAACTGCGAAACCACTCAATCACCGATGGAGATATGTTAAGTATTCTTGGGTTTTTGGGTTCTTGGATTCACACTAGGTTAGGTGGGGATAGGATTAGGTGACCATGACGCTAGAAAAATATGTCCTTAACAGTAAGTAGGTATGTAATCCTCATTGTCTTATTATCCACATTTTCGCAAAGCTCTAAGATTTCGCAAAAAACATATTAAATCATCCTACGACATAGATATACTTTAATTACAAACAACAACAACAAACAAAAGTTTTACTAACGTCCGATCACTGACAACTAGGTAAATCATGACCGATCTGAAAAATTTTGTTCCATTACTTGCCGTGGTAATTTTTGTGAAATTGACTCTACATTCCACTGTTTTGTTGTATTATCAGATCTAATAATGATCTGAGGTTGTACTGTTCATTTCATTCAGCTTTTTCTTACTGAAAAAAGGCTTTCTGCCTTTGTTGGGCTTTTTGAAGAGTTGGTAAATCTGGACACCGTTTAATTTTTCAAGACTACAGCACCGCTTTAGCACGATCCATTATGGAATTCGAATAGTTAAATTCGATCTATTCTATAAGTCAAATGTGTACTGATTTTAGTTAATTCGTGCTAAGGGTACAGTATCCTTACGGACGTAACGAGCACCATAACGGACGTAATGAGAGCACCATAACGATCGAAGACCCTCATCACAACCGTGTAATGGATTTTGTGGCTATGCATGGCCTTAGAGATCTCCTCATCCACAGCCTCCACTTCGTCATCTGGATGTGTCGAGGTCGGAGCTTAAACCTGAATAATAATGAGAACCAAAAAATCAGTACACATCTGACAATGACATTTCGTACTCGCAAACGTTACGAATTCGATATTAGTTCGTGCTAAGGGCACAGAAAGCCTAATTCTATGAAATGCAAAAGTAGATTCTAAAAGTGTTTTTATACTTAGTTGTACATAACTTACATTAAAATGTTTTTCTTTGATTTGTCTTCTTTTGTGATTGTCACCTATTTTGTACATCATTGCCGCTACTACTTCCGGCTGGTTGAGGTTGATGATCGCGAGGTTGAGGGATGTCATCAGGTTTATGACGTGTGCTTTGAATTGTATATTCTGCGCGTATTCAGATTCAGGCACCTTCTTTATCATCTTGAAGAACTCTCTTGTCTCAGGATATGTTTTGAATAACCTGTAAAAATGAATTGAAACATTGAAAAGGAGAGAGGTAGAGTGGGATAGGTAGAGGTGGCAATCCCGCTCTATAATTTCAGTTCCATAGTTTACAAAGTCAATATGTATCCATTGAATTTTGAAATACTCAAAATTGGTCTGTGTCTACAAAATTTTAACTGGGTTATAGAAGCGGAACGAAATGTAAGTATAGTAACAGTTCATATATCCTGATGGAAGGTTAATTCAATGTGAACTTTATTTGATTTACTCGATGAGCTGTAATTGATGTTCAGGTTTTGGAACGTGGGTAGTTAATTGAATATGTATGGGCCAAATTATCACTAAAATTGCTACTTATACCTAAAGCAGTTTAGTTTGTAGGAACTTATGTGAGTTAAAGTTGCTTTATCTAAGGGAGACCTAATAACGAAACACTATAATTATCTGGATATATCTCATGCACCTAAGGAAGTAAGAAATACAAGAAATTGTATCTATTCTAAAAATTTTAAAGTAATTAGTAAAGTTATAACAAAGACTTGCGAGTATTGCTACACTAATTGTATGTATAGAGACACCACATTTCACACCATGAAGAAAGCGCTCACGCTATAAATTTCACCAGACTATCCGTGAATTCCTCACATGTCACTTCCGAGCCAGTTGCCATCAGGAATGTCCAATTTTCCAACAGTCTCTAAAACATTGTGCGATCTTTTGCCTCATACGATTCGCTTAAAGCAGAATCTCCAACACCAAATTAAACATTTCAAGTTAGACAATTCTATACTTCAGGACTTGGGGAACCTGCATAATTTTTTTTACTCTCTCATAAAGATTATGGACTGAATGAACTAAGTACACTTTCATTTAGACCATAAGTAGAAGAATTTGAATGTCAGCTGTGTTCGAATCTCGTGTTTGTATGATGAATACAAGTTTGGGTTGATCTTAGGTTGTCTAGGTCGCAGTGTGACTAACCCCATAACCCATTAATGTACACATATATATCGCAAAATGACTAGATATCATTTCGTCTAGATTCTTAATTGACTACGTCGCATTGAGTTATACCTAAATGGTAGCTGTTTTCAAATAAATATTCTACAAAAATAAACTTATCTATGTATGATATGTATTTCTATCCGTTACCTTAGCATCGCATAACACAAACTACAGTGTGTATCTACTTTGGGGACTAATTGGTGTCAGTGTTAGAATTATTTATTTATTTTTCGAGTCGTAAAATTTATTACCAGCAATTTCTTACACTTATCTACAATGTATTGTGTTCTTAGTTATTTGGGTCTACCAAGACTCAAATGGCTGGCAATAGAAGTGAATTGAATTTACATTCACATGTCAGCCGACGGCGGCGATGCGGCGACGAGATTTATTCAATTGTGTTGTGGGCTATTTAATATAGTACTTTAGCATTTCGTGGTCGTTTTGGATATGCTCCCACAAAATGTTGGAACGATATCGCTCTACCATTAAGAGCCTCACAATATATTAAATCTTTCATAATACAGTGCAAAATTATCTTTCAACCTGTTGGTTTGAAAGGGAGATGTTTCTGATTTCTGTTCTGGCGTTCCTTTGCATAACTCCAAAAAGCTCCACTCTCAATTCATTACCGTAACGCTTCCCCAACCGAGGGTCGAAGACCCTCATCATAACCGTGTGATGGATTTTGTGGCTATGCATGGCCTTAGAGATCTCCTCATCCACAGCCTCCACTTCGTCATCTGGATGTGTCGAGGTCGGAGATTAAACCTGAATAACTTTTAACGATTATCCTTCAGGTATACTATATATCAGGTATGTCGTCTCGAAATTTTCACTGACTGTGTAAGTTTTTTATTCAAACTGCAGAAATAAAAAAAACATGATTTCTTTAAAAAAAAAAATACTTCCTATCCTCCTCCGTACGACTCGCACTTGGCCGGTTTTTATACCTACATTGCTTCTTAAAAATTAACGAATATTTTAATACCATGCCATAAAACGCAGCGTTCAGTTGTGATCTATACCTACAATGATAAATCAAAGTTCAATTGAGTACACTAAGGATCTAATGATCTCTCTTGATCCATCACACGGGCCCAGAGCGGATTGGTGGGTGGGTTCTAACGATTCTTAATGTTAAAAAGGTGGCAAGCAAGCTTATAGCCCGCCAGGTGGTAAGCAGCTACCATAGCTTAAATACTTTTTATACAAAAAATATCACTCGCGTTGCCTGACGTCAAACTTATAAACATGTATTGCAGTCAACTTCCATCACATAGTGTAAAATAGGTAACAATAATAATTCAGACGACGCGATCTATACCGTTGAAACTTGTTTTATTTAATTTAGGTAACAATAAATACACAAAAGCCCCGAAATGTCCAGTAAACAATTTTCCAATAAATGAGCTAACATATGAAAGAGACTAATTGCAAGGGTTTCTTCAATACTCCTCTTAAGGAGACAAGTTTAATATTACTTTAAAAATATCTGAAGGCAAAGGTAAAATTTAGGACCACGCGGTTTTATCATTCAAATATTGTTTAACAGTATAATATCCTTTCTTAAGCAAGCAATATTTAATGTGTGTTTTAAATTCATTTAGAGGCAAATCACGAATATAATTTGGAATCTTATTATAGATGTACACCTTGACCCGTAAATCACACATGAAATTTATGTAACATAAGTTTGTTTATATTCCTTGTATGAAAAGTATGTACGTCACTTTGATTAAGATAGAAGTTAATATTGTTTCGAAGAAAAAGTATACTTACAATTGTAGATAATGAAATGACCGATGTCATACATAATACTAACCAGAAAATCTTGGGTCACAGACTCACAGCACAGTCTCCCTATTTCATCCTTAGGGAAGGCCTTTGCTCCTGCAGTAGGGTCATTAATAGGCTGACGAAGATGATGAAATCATATTTTATTCCTGACTGCTGAATTAAAAACTCTTTCCTACTTATTGACGATCATAGCAATGTCACTTTTAGAATTGCGGCCATTTCTTTAGCAGACGAAAATAAATCATTAACAACATTCGTTTGTTTCGATTTCAACTCGTCGGCTTATCGGAAAGGTTAATTCATATAGATTTTTAGACCTACCTACGTACGCGGTTTTCTCACTCGTAATCACGTACTCGTATACACATCTCAAATTGATCAACACAACATATACCTACAGATCACAGAATTTGCCTGAACATCGCAGATTGTATACTCATCAAGAGAGTCTTAGTAACATGCATGCATACGCAAAGTGCAAGTTTTATTATTTGATATTTTATATTATCGTTACGAAATGTAAAATTTATTCAAAGGCTTTTTGCTTATGTCACTAATTAATCAAATTAACAGAAGAATATAAGTAGAAAAATAATAAAAATCAATGAAAAGTTCAAAAAAGTTCAGGTTGTTTAGTTGGACTATTGAAGAGTGTACATAATTATATAATAAAGTCTCCAATATAAAAAAAAACTGATTAAACGTTTTGTATTTTAATGTTTTAGGTACGTGCCCTAAAAAGATAGTAATGACAAAAACAGTATTTTTTAAAACTTACACCGGCTATTCTTCACAAGTAGTGATATATGAAAGCATTCTGTCTTTACAAACATATTTTACAAGCCGTTTTTAATATAATAATTCAACTAGTTTATGTGTTATGAATTCACAATTAAACTTAATATACCGTAGTCCAAATTAAAGCATGCGAGAATTCAATTCATCAACGCTTTCATTAGGCCACGCATTAATTCAATTAATTAGTCGAAGCGCGTAAAAACTGTCATATCAACGATTAAAGTTTAATTTGATAACCTGCTAAATGCGAGGAGGACGCACGGAAAAGGTTCTGCACCATTTAGGTACAACATTTAAAATTAAATACAAAAAAATGAAATTATATGTTCCCCTTGTAGAAGCCCTCTTTTTTGAGTAAAATATTCTATTTTTTGTTGTGATTGCGATCACAGTACATTATAACACACTCTATGAAAATTTCTGGTTCTACCCTTTTTTCGTTCAGGAGATTAGAGCCCTGCGACAGACAGACAGATAAATGGCAGAAACATATTACTAAGGACTGAAACTGCCTTAAGCGGACGTCCGCGCGATTTGAAAATGTGTGTTCATAAAGTTTGAAATGTGAAACTTTTAATTTTCACTAAATCATGCTGCATTCCTGACTGAGAAAACGTTATTAGTAATTACGTTACGGAAAACTTATGACCGTTGTCTTTAAATGTTGAGTGAACACTAATGCCTTTTAGATTTTACGATCATTTCTTTAGGAGACGAAAACAATTCATTAACGACATTCGTTTGTTATGGATTTTATTCGACGGGTTATCGGAAAGGTTAATTTTAGAGGTAACTTCAAATTATATCAATAACTACTTTATAACATTATAACGTTAATAATTTTAAATACTTTTGCTTGTGCTTCTATAGGTACATTATCTAAAGTATACACAAATTTGCTTCATTGAAAAAAAAAAGAATTTAGGGTTCCATGCACAATTCTAACCGTTATGTCGTAACATCGGTGTTGTTGTTATTTGAGCCGCCGACTCAAAAAAAATATTAGGACAGAGTAAACATAGGTCTTTTAAAATCCAAACGTGTCGTCGACGGGAAGAAAAGAAGTTTGTGAATATGTTGCAAGTGTCAAATTAAGGTAAGTATCGTGAAAGTATTTGAAGGTCTTCCTTCCACCGACCATAAAAGGAAAAATGGTATCAGATGTAAATCATAATAAACAGAACTTCACCTCTTCAATATCTCCGTGCCGTTGCCCACTGAGTCCGCGAAGACTGGCGCCCAGGACTTCTGCACTGCGTACACCTCGCGCCGCGTCAGACCCGACACGGGGTTCACCTCGTCGGGGTTGCCGCCCCAGAGCAGGTGGCTCACCCATCCGCCCATTGTCACCTGCGAGCAAAATACTTCAAGTTATGCCTTGATCACACGTATCGAATAAAAGGGCGGGACAGTAAAATGTTTCTCGGCCGAGACAGTGATGGAAGTTAAAGAAAATGTAAGAGCGCTCGGCCGAGAACTCGGCGCTATGTATACGTATCGAGTTCTCGACTTACAGCACTGTTTCGCTCGTTTGGTCGGTACGTCTGATTAAGGCATATCATAAGGATGTGCTGTAAATTTTTTTCAACGGTGAAACGGCGCTGAAAGACAATCCTTCTGCAATCTAATACTTAGGCCTATTCTACCAAGAACCTATCTAATTCTCTACATCACAATACCCGTCACCAACTTTTGATGTAATGGACAAATAAGTGAATAAAAAAAAACATTCTGTTAGCAACCATCAAGTAAATTTTCACGGCAGTGATCAAGAGTGCAATATTCATTTCTTCAGTTTAGGCTTTTACAAGCACATGTGAAAGTCGAAAGCTATGCCATCGGTTCGCAAATCTACGACGGGAGTCCTTGTAGACAAGAATAAAGAAGAAGAACCGACAAGAAACTCAGCGAGAGTTGCTTTTTTGACCTGTTTTATTTCATACAGTGTCGTCAAATTGAAAGATGACATGAAACTTATAAACATGTATGTATAGACGCCCCAGTACATTACATTATAAATACCTAATCTCTTAAGTCCGTACCTTTCGTTTTGTTCTAGATGTCTTCAAAACCACAATTGCGGTCAACATTAAGAATATTGAACACAAATATATAAAAAGCAACATAGTTATAAAAAAACAAAGCACTTAATATAAAATGTACTTAAATTGATTTCTTAAAAAAAGCTAATGATTTTGACGAACCTGCCTTTTCAATGAACTGGGTAGATTTAACTTCACAGTATATTAGTCAAAGTGTTTTGTAACAAGCTTGTTTGCTCACGAAACATCACAATTATCTGAACGAAATGACAGGACAAATTTGTTTTTATACCTATGTATGTTATTGTACTTATCTAACATACTGTCACGCTGCTTGCAAATATGGGAAAGCACCTTGTGATTATTTGCTTTGCTCTACTTCAACATAAAGGGAAGGTGGGTTAAAATGCACTTTAAGAGTTTGTTTTATTATCAAGATAACTATTTCAATCTATCATTTAAAAAGACTGGTATGACTGGACAGCGAAAACAATTGCCTATTGAATTTAACGCCGATCACGATAATTTTGAAATAAACATTTGCAATATATTTAAAATATTCAACCTTTTTACTGCTCCTACTATTAACCTATATTTTTTATATTTATATTTTTAAGCCTTTAACTATTAGATGTTTAAATCTAAAGAAAATTTTAGTAGGTAAAATTCCACGCGGACCAGGGATTCGAACCCACATCTTTCGCTATTCGGGCAGACGCTGACGCACTAACCAATAATGCTACAGAGCCCTTAATGGCCGTGTCGAATTTTCTTCATCTGCCGCCCGGATATCGGAAGATGTGGGTTTAAATCCAGTCTGAAACCTGGACCGAGTGGAATTTTCTCTAGTAGAATTTTCTCCATATTAACATTTTGAAGGTTGATGCGATATAATAAATGTTTATTTCAGGCACAATAACCCATATTAAAAATTACAATTGCAATTAAAATTTGTCCCATCTTATCTTAAAAAAATAAACATAGAATATGGAGAAAACTGTTTGTAGTAACTAATATTTATTTATTTGCAAACTAAATTAAGTTTCTTGAAGTTTATACCTAACCTAAATATCTATAAAATGCAAAGTATAGAGATACTTATCGTGTTCAAAGGTTCAATTAGAAATTGAATGTTTAAGCTTATAAATAAAAGGCCCAATACGATCGGCTCTTGGTATTCGCAATACTTAATGTTTATTCTATAAATAGGTTCGGGTTCAAAGTGGCAAGCGATAAAAAATCGTCGCCGATATTAAATTTAACTCGAAGCGTTGAAACCCAACCGATCCTGAAATAGCCTAACGAGCATTCCTGAGACCTGATTTCAACACATACCTCCTTAGTAATAATAGAGGAATAAGCATATACTAGTTACGCCGCGTTTAGTTCATATAACTCAAATGCCATTTACCAAACATGGAGCAACTAATCAGAGCTTATTTTTCGTTTATTAACTTTATTAATAATAATAAATGTAGTATAACCCAAGGGGGTTACAGAGGAATAAAACGAAAAACTGGATATAGAGTTAAGTTTTTGGAATATGTGCCACTCAAATGAAGCAACCTAAATGAGAAAGTTTGTATGTTTGTTCCTTAATCACGCAAAAACTACTAAACGGTTGAAATTTGGTACGCATATAGTTTATGACCTGGATTGAGACAAAGAGTACTTTTTATCCCGTATAAATGTTAGTTTCCTGTAGGATTCTCAAAAAACTAAAGTAGAGTCTGTGCGGAAAGAGAATGAATGGGATTTAGATTGGAGGGCGCTGTAGTGCTTTTCTACCGTATTTGTAAGGTTTTACCCTTTTTAGACATGATTAAAAACAAAAAACCGCAAGAAATCACAACAACAAACAAATCCGTATCAATAAAAAACTTTGAAGTTTTAAAGATTGCTGGGTTTGATTGCCAAATAAAAATCTTAATGTTGAACTAACATTAAGATTTTCGCCACGCCCATTCTCTTTCCGCACAGTCTCTAAATGCGGACGAAGTCGCTGGCGGCCGCTATCGCGTTAGTAAAAAATAAACATCACCAAATTGGAGAATTTACATTTTTTTCGAATCTATTACGTTTCGTAGTTTGTATGAAAGTTTATTGTATTAATATGTTTAAGGGGTTATTAATATTATCATTAAATACTATTTTTTAAGATATTCTAAAGAACTTTTAAATCGGTACAGAAAAAGAACAAGAACAAGGCAATAACGAAAATTCTCATGCCTTATAAATAGGCAGGATTAATAATTTAATTGATATAAATATGAATATGAAATAGGTTCCGGTTTTTTATTATCGTTGGTTTTTAATTTAATATCTACTGAAAACCATCAGAAAATTCGTAAATCTTGTTGAATGGTGTTTTTATATTGAAATTGAAATGTCGAGATTTATTCTCCTTAAAAAAAAAAACAAAAAATGTACTATAACAATGAACCTAAAACTAAAAACCTTAAAAAATAAAATAAATAACTAAAATACATTATTAAAAGGAGTCCCTTTAGGCAAGGTTCCGAAGATACTGGCAGCGTTCCCTCTTTGGATAGCTAGTCTAAATCTTTATCCGAGGTAGCTGCCAGCTCTTCGGTCTCCTGTGATGTCGACTAATCTTTTTGCTATTTCTTTAAAAAGCCTTATAGCGCTAGGACCCCGCGGACCAAGGGTCTCGACACCGAATCGGACAAAATCATATTCGGAGCCTAGACATAAATTCCATGATGATTTCTCCTTAAAATAGGTACTTAACCGAAACTGAGCGAGTCTGTACTCGCTAGTTTATAATATTAGTTTGGATTAATCACAAACCACTTCAAAATGAAACCACTTGAGTCAACAACTATTACTTGTATTTTTTTGTTTTGTTGTTAATTGGGTCACCATTTAAAATATTTTTTACCCTCTTCAAGTTTATTTTCACAACAAAAAGTAGCCTATAACCAACTACATATAACCATCTTCAGGGTCCAATGTAAGTAGACTTATCTATACCAAAATTCAGTATAACAATCCGCCCGGATTGCGGAAGGTGCGGGTTCGAATCCCGTCTGAAAGCTGGAAACTAGTTTCAGAAATTTTCTAGTAAAAGTTGTCTTTAGATTTATAAATTTAGTGTTCCGTGGTGCTATTCTGTAAGACTAAACTCATTTTTCACTGCGGAATTCGCTAATTAATAATTATGAGATCGGCAATTAATATAAAATTGATTTTCTAATTTTAAATCAATCAGAAAATTCCCAGGTGTAACTGATTTTTTTCTTACAGAATAGCACTGCTGATTAGGCGTGAACGCTAACATACAAACAAACTAACTTTCGCATTTATAATATCAGATAGATAGGATTCCTAATGCTTTCGGGCCTTTGATAGTCTGCCAAATGGTAAGTGCTTTGAAACTATGTATCGGAACTAAATTGTTTCAGCGTCGACGGTGGTCTGATAATATTGTGGAGTGAACAAGTAGGTATATCTTATTTACGTACCAATGTACTTGAAATAAACAACAACAATATTTACGTAAATCTTTCAAAATAGGTATGATATGACTCCTATAATATGAAATATGTGGTCACGAGAAATTATTTGTTATCATGAACATTGTTTAATGTTAATTAAAATGCTCATCATGTGATTCTTACCTACTTAACAGATAGGTTACGTCAAAACTGTGAGCTCGTTCCCACTTGTCGGGTGTCGGATCCGTAAATTAATCGGAGGTTCCAGTGGCAGAGCATTATTTATATGAAGCTATTATCGGAGCACACTTATCGGAAACCGATTTTGTGTCGGCACCGACAAGAAGTGTCGGGTGTTTTGCCAGCGCTCTACGCCCGGAAAAAAATCGTGCCGGATCTCGGGCTGTTCATATTTGTAGGGTGTCGGGGCTGACTATCCTCCCCCGCTACCCCTTGTTCCGTTCGTAACGCAATTCTTTTTCAGTACAAATGCAGTCTCTAAGTCCTGTATTTTGGTAGTTTATGTTCACTAATATTTGAGTCAGTAGATAGTTGAATGTTGATATTGACATCCTAAAACAATAGAAACACTTAATTTCGTCACTTCTCAATTCTGTTATTTACCCAAAATCAAATCTTTCCCTCGGGAATATATGCACCTAATTTTATATTCCATGGCTCTCTTTCTTTGTTTTCTTAAATAATAATAGGAACATTACAACAAGAACTTCGTCAACGTCCATCGTGAACAGTCGCCTTGCGTAGAGTGCCTAAAATTGGTTAAAGCCTTAACCGTGACCGACAACCGATTATTAATCGTGTGTGTGAGCAAAGGCACTGACATCCGATT